CTCCTAAACCCGGTCGCAAGTCCCAGGCGCTAATCCCCCCGACACATTCCCCCCCGACACTCGACAAACACGCGCGACAACCCTGCAAGAGGAGCAAACTTCAAAGAGCTCCACCCCGTGCTTGAGACTCAGACTCCGCGAACTACTTCCACTGCCTTCGATATTTTCAAGAGGGGGGAGGGGGGCCACCACTGTCCAACCCCTGCGCCTGTCCAAATGGTCCAAAGAGTCTCAGCCGGGTGCTTTGAGGGATGGTCGGGGGAAGAAGGGGAGGCGGGGGCAGGGGGGCGGGCGACCCCTGTCCAACTTCCGCGCCAGATCAGGCGCGGCGACGCTTGAGAACGTCGGCGAAAACTGGAGAAAAACCGGCACCACAGTAGGGGGCTAGCGTTTCGCAGCTCCCCCTTGGGAGTGTGCGTGCGGAGGCTGCGAGCGAGGTATCTTAAGGAGAAGGGGGGCCAGCCTGCTGGCAACGCCTTCACAACTTCCCGCCTGCTTGATGATTTTCGTCGTGCAAAGCCGAAAAGGCGCCGAATGTAAGAGCCAGCCACGCGGGTGGGAGGCCATAGCTGTAGGCACGCGGCTAGCTCCTCGCGGATCTGGACACCCCTCGAGGAGAGTGCGGCTGGAGGAGTCCGCGGGCGGGCAATCTCACCAAGATAGAAACGCGGCGCCCAACTCCCGCCCGGGCAACCCCCTCAGACCCCCTGCGCCCGGTCGCAACCGACAACGCGAGGAAGAAGCTGCAAAAAGTGCCAGCCTTAGAGGCTGGCCCCGTCGTGTCTCTCTGTCTGAGAAGAAAACCCCCAGAAAGCCCGGCAGCCGATGGGGAGCGCCTTCCCAAGCTCCGCGGGCTTCTTGATTTTAAGCCCCGCGCGGTGGGTCTTCTTGCTCTTATTTTGAAGGCGCTGGCTGCATCCATATGAGAAAGAGAAACAACCCAAGGCGCTGGGCTTTCGGGTTCGCGCCGTGCCCGTTTTTTCGGGGGTCCACGCTGCTCCCCATCTTTCCGGGGCGGTGGCGTGTTTGCTTTGTCTTTGTGGGGCCATGCTGTAGCTTTGGGGCTTGCTCATACGGTGCCCCCGAGGTCCAGCCGTGTGGTGTTAGAGAGGGGCGTGGCCATGCGGTGCTTGGTTGGGGGGTCTGGTTGTGTCTTTTTCGGGGGTGTGCTCGTGCTGCTCCGGGAGGATTGGCTTTGGCCAAGCTGCGCCCCAGGGGCCATGTTACGTGGGGAGGCTAAGCCGCGGCAATTCTGGAAGGCCGTGGCGCGTTTAGAGGTCGGGGCGTCGGTCAGTGTTTGGGGTTCGTGGTGTGCTTGGGGGGTCGCTCAGCGCTTGGGGCGCCTTTCTGCGCCATATTGGCCACGTTGTCGCGGGGGGGTCCTTGCATGCGTCGGGGAGCCAGAGCGCGGCTAGAGGTCGCGGCGTCGATCTGTGTTCGGGGGGGGTGTGGTGTGTCTGGGGTGGTCATTCGTGGCGTTTTTGCGGGGGTCGCTCGGCGTTTAAGGAGTCGCGGCGTGCCTTTTTAGTCGTGGCACGTGCCTGCCGGGGGTTGTGTTCGTTTGTGTGTCTGGAGGGTCATGGCGTGCCTGGCAGGTCATGTGGTGTCTGGGGTCTCCTCATGCTTGGGGGGTCGCGCGGTGCCCCTTGGGCGTCGGGGGGTTGTGCTGTGCTTGGGGGGCTTGCTACATAATGCCCAAAGGTTCACGCTGTGCCTGCTCAGGGGGTCCGGCTTTGTTTTTTGGACTGTGCATCGCTTGGGGGGTTCGTTGCGCTGCGGCGCTTTAGGAGGTCGCGCGCTGCCTGTTGGGTTGCGTCGCATCTTGGGCGCTGTCCGCGTTGTGTCGGGGGGGTCTGGCGGGGGCAGTGGTGTCCATTAAGCTGCGCTGTGCTTGCGGCGCCGTGGCCGTGGGCAGCCTCTCACTATTCTGCAGAGGCCGTGCGTATTCCTGCAGTTTTGAAGGGTCGCGAAGTGCGGAGGGGGGGGGTGCGTGGGTGGCTCGCTGGAGGAAGATCGCGCCGCGAGGAGCTTGGAGGGATGCACGGCCGCGGCGCGTGCTCACAGTCATGCAGGTCTTGAGGGGCCGCGTGATGTTTTAAGCGCAACGCGAACGCAGTGCCCTCAGGCGGCCGCGTTTCTACTAAGGGGCCCCGCTGTGTCTGAGTGGCTGCGGCATGCTTGGCGGGTCGTGGTGTGTCAGCGTCAGGGGAAGCTCGGCGCGCTTTGGTGGTCGTCGTGGTGTGTTCAGGGGGTCGCCGTCCATGTTTCGCCTTGGGGGCGCGCGTTGTGTGGTTGTGAATATCTGGCCGCGGTGGTCTTCAAGGATCGCGATGCGACTTGGGGGTCACCGAGTGAGGGCCTTGGCGTCCATGCTGGCGGCAGTGCTTGCCTTGGGGTTATGTTGTTTCTCGAGGCTGCGCGGTGAGGAGGCAGCCGAATCCCTTTGCGGTCATGTAGATGCTGCAGGCAGGTCACGCCGTGGCGTTTTTTTGGGAGTCGATGGCGATGCGTTGGAGGGTCGTCGTTGTGGTCTGTTTCTCGTGGGTCACTTTGTGCTTGGCGTCTTGCTTGGGTGGTGCTCGGGGGGTGGTGGCTGCTGCCTGTGGGTGCAGGGGGGGCCAATTCGTTCCCAGGGGGGCAGGCAAGCAATGTTTCGGAAGGCATGCGGATGCTGCAGCTACGGCAGCGGGGCGGGCTGTGTTTTGCAGTGAGTTAAGAAGGCCGCGCGGCGTCAGGGTGCGCGTGGTGTGTTTCAAGGGCCACGGTCTGTCTTCCGTATGGGTGTGGGATCGTGGTGCCTTGGGGGCTGCGCGCTGCTCTTTGTTTTGGAGGAGGTCACGCTGTGCCTTTAATAAAATGGGGGCCAGGCTTTTGCTTCTCCTTTTGTGGCTTGGCTTCCTTTTTTCAGTGGTGTCGCCGCGTGCTGCGTCCATTTGGTCGCAATGAGTTGAGGGGGGTCATGGTGGGCCTTGGTCGGCTTGGCGCTGTGCTTCTGGGGTCCGTCGTGCTGCGTTTTGGTGCGTGGCCAGGCGGCTGCGCTTTGGGTCGTGCGCGGTCATGCGGGGCCTTATGATGTAGGGGCGAGAGGTCTCCATAAGTTACAACGTCAGGGGGTCACGGTGGTCCTTTGGGGTCGTGTGGTGTCTTAGTCGTCCTCGTCGCCGCGGTGTGTTCGGGGTGGTAGTGCTGTGCCCTTCGGGGTCTTGCTGTGTTTTGGGGTCCGTGCTGTTTTGGGGGTGCTGTGTTGTTTTGGAAGTTCGTCGCGCTGTCTCTTTGGCGGTCGTGCTGGTGTGTCTTGGTTGTCATGCCTCATGTCCGGCCATGTGTCCCTTTGTGGGTCTATGCTGTGCCCGGGGGTCACGCCGCGCCTTTGGGGCCGTGCTCAGTTTTATGGTTTGCCATGCAGTGCCTTTGGGGGTTTGGGGTCAGGGGGTGCCGCAGGGGGTCGCGGTGCCTCTTGCGGTTCGTTTTGCTTTTTTTTTGAGGGGGCGGGTCATGTCATAGCCCAGGGGCTGCGTGTTGTCTGCGGGGTTGCTTCCTTTGTCTTTTGGGGGCTGGCTGTCTGTAGTAATTTGCGCGGGGGGTCATGCTGTGCCCCTATGCTCGTGCTCTTTTTGTCTTCTGGGGGCCGTAGTGGGTTGCCTGGTGGGTCGCGCTGTGTCTTCTTGGTGGTCGTGGTGTGTTAATAAGTTTGGTGGGCCGTGGTGTCTTTGGTGCTTCGTGTGTTGCTTGGGGGACGCGCTGCGACTGCGTGGCCACGTTGTAGCTTGGGGCCGTGCGGTGCTTAAGGGGTCGCGCTGTGTTTGGGAGGTCGCGCTGTGTTTGGGGAGGTCGGTCGTGCTGCGTTTGGGGAGGTCGTGGGGCACTTTGGGGGCCGAGGCGGGATCGATGGGCAGCCCCCGCTCGTTGAGCCAAACAACAAAGCCGAGGGCAGTCAGCTAGCCCTAGGCGAGAACGCGGGCGGCCCAAACCGGAGAGGCTTGAGCGGCCAAAGCTGGCCCCGGCAAGCTGAGCGGGACCAGCGAACAAGACGAGCAGGGCGCGCGGGCTTGGGAGGGCTCACCGACGTCGGGCGCACCTTACGGCATTGGCATCACCTCCGGCCCGCCCCCGCGCACGCATGAATGTCCGCCGGGCCTGTCTCATTGGCGTGGCGTGCCTAATTGATTCCGCGCGCCAGGGTTCTGGGTTCCGTGGGTTGCTTCGGTCTTTGTTCTTCTCCATCATCTCGACGGCAGCCGCCAAGGCCAAGGGGCGGGCGCTCCGTGCCTCAGTCGCTTTTTTTTTTGCTTTCTCTTATGTTTGTTCTACTCTGTGCCTGTGACTGTGCTGCTATCAAGGAGGGGTCGCCCAAGGGGCGACCCCGGTTTCTTGTCATAGTAATAATCAAGACGAGCATCATGATGTTGATGAGGGTGAAAGAAAGTCAACTATGATGATTATGTCGCGATGTTGATGTGGAGCGACATGTACATAAATGTTGAAGACATATTTGCGAAGATGATACCTCCATGGTGTAACGTCCGTCCATAACAAACTACTCATTGTAGGGCGAGGGCGTCAAACTCTGACCAGACCTGTTGTGAGCATGCAAGAGGTTATCGTGGACGAACGAAGAGTAGCCACATCAGACGACTTGGAGATGGGATGATTCGCCATTCATGCAATGCAAAAGAAATTGTTTATCTTTTTTGAATGCTCGATCCATCAAGATTTCTATTCGGCGACTTTTTGGGAGGAACAACGAAGACTAATTTGTTGCATTGAGCCTGAAGACATAGAATGAGACTCAAGTTCGAGAATTTCTTCGTTTTGTCACTGGCAGTCAGAGAAAATAGTGTTTAGGCTTGCTCCACCTTTCGATCGAGATTATCTCTGTTAGTTCGCGGGCATGAATTACATGTGGAAAGATTAATAGACGCAAAACACAAAAAATGTACATAGCTTCAGGCCAGGCATTGCGAACCCGGAGAATTATCTGGCAGCTTGTGGCTCGAACACGCCAAATTTGTACACAAGCGCAGGGACTAAAATCTCCAATCCATACGCGTATGCCAGGGCCATAGAGGCCAATAAGCAGTCATCGCACAGCAACAATTTCGGTTACAATAATGAACCTGGTATTGGAGGTGGAGGTGCATTTTCGTCTGGATTCAATTCAACAACTACAACAATGGTAGTGGTTATGGAGGTAGCAGCTCATACAATGCAGGTCCATCAGATTCCAACTTTTTCTACGGCAATGCAGCCGGCAGTGGCGGTGCTGGAGGGGCCACGAGTAGTGCACTAGCACCTTACAAGAGTAATCTTTTTCCATCTTCAAGCACTAGTACAGCAGGAGAGTCTAGCTCTTCGCTTTTCGAATCGCTTTTCAGCAATAAACACTCCAACTCTTTTTTTTTGAGTAAAGCCCCCACAGGCGGAAATGATGGAGCTCCAGGAGTGACCTACAACTATCACCTGACGAAGAACGAACACCATTACTACGGTTCTTCAAATCAGCAAGGGAAGCAGTCGTCTTCTGAGTGGACGCATTAAAAAAGCAGATTGAAGATCTGCAAAAGCAAATCGCTCAGACGAATGCAAAAAAGAGTAAGCGGCCGCAGCCTGTAGACCTTCAGGTTGGTTGGAAAGGCGAACTTTCTTCAAAAGCGAGATCTTCGCGTGTCGCTGCATTAAAGGGGATGATGAAGGAATCGACTACAGCGGCTGTGAGAACAAACATGAAGATGCCAGTAGCTGTAGTTGCGACGAAGAAAGTGGCATCTTCGAACACTTCTGGTATGAGGAAGATGTCGGAGAAGAGTAGGAAAACTGTTGTAACGAAGAAAGCAGCTACGACCATGAAGAAAACGCAAGAGCCGGCAAAAAATTCAGCAGCGCCGCCGATGAAGAAAAATGCACCTGCTTCGATGAAGATCGTGCCTAGAAGCATGCAGACCTCGTCGAAGAATAGCATGAAAATTACCATGAAAAGCGCGAAGGGCATTTCAGTAAAGGTGAAAATTGGATGACCGATGAGGACAAGCCTTCGTATTAATGAGTATGAGGAGCCTCTGTATTTCAATTTCTGATATGTCATCGACCATCAAGGGTTGTTCGTCTTCATACTGCATTGGCACTTCTTGCCAAGAATGATCGCTGAAAGCTCCTGCATAAATTGTGCGCACTAAATGATAGGGTTGGACGTGGCTTCTTTGAGTGTCAGTTTTCTCGCTAAAATTTCTGCCATTCTGTGCTGGTTACGTCTATGTATTGTTTTCGAGTGCAAGAACTCAGTAACAGCATCTCGTCTGGTGATTATGCATGGTTCGATCCTGAGTCCTGCATGCAAAAACGCCGGAGTAAGCCGTTATCCTGTGTATCTATATATCTGCGAAGAGGAAAAGGGTCAAGCGCTTCTTCTTCGTTATTTCATAAGCCGTCTGAAAATGCCGCCCCCAAGCCCAACGATCTACAGTTTGGTTTTCCATTATGGAACAAAAAAGATTGTCTTTTCAAGATGCAGGAGGTGGTAGCCGATGATAGCAAGAGAAGGCGAAGGTATGTGAAGCAGCCTGTGATGAGTATTCTTGTAGAATGAAAAAGAGTTTTCATTTTGTGTTGATCGACATCATTGTCCATAGGTAGTTGAGAAAATAACCAATTAGTTCATACTAATATAATATTTGGGTACGCTCTTCCTTGTCTCAACTTCTACTTGAGTGATCGCGCAGATCTTCGTCCGTTTCAAGAGAAAGAAAATGATCAAGCCACGTTGGCAGAGGCAGGGAGCTTCAAGTACCGCAGCGAAGGCGTGTGCAGCGCTCCGTGGTGCTTCATCTACGTTGGGTAGTAGTACTCAAGGTTCTGGCGCAGGCGCTGGGCAACGTCTTAGTCGACAAGATAATCCCTCACAAGAGATTGCCCGACGTGATCAAGTTCCTCCGTCAGCAAGTAGCTCACCTTCGTTTGGGCCTTTATCTCGTGGCGCTCCTGGAAATCAGTGGTCGTCATCAACCATCGAAGGGCTGCGATTCAGCGCAAGAAAAATGCTGCTGCGCACTCCAGAGGGTTGGAGTGTCCCTCTTGAAAGTGCCTGCTTTGAAACATTCTTTGCTTCCTTTTTTACGAACGCTGTACCGAAAGAAGAAAAACCGACAGCTACGGGAAGTCGAAAAGCTCAAGTTGAAGTAGCGGATCATAATGACATTGGCGCTGCACCACGCCGATTGGAAGCCCTCGAGAAGGATGCGTGCGATATTAACCGGCTAAGATAAGTTGAACGAGAAGGCGCAGACGCCAAAGACCAGTCAGGTGTAGAGAAGTCAGAAGAAGGTGAGCCAAATCCGAAACGTGCTCGCACCATTGCAAACGATGAAGCTGAGAGAGCATCTGCGTCTACCACTACTTTCTTAAGCTCAGCAAAAGATTGCGGAGCTCTACTTCAACTTCATCAAAAGACTGCAGGTGCACATAACAGCAGTCAGAAGATGTGTAGAACTGGAGATGAAATTGTGATCGAAGGCATTGCCATCTTTTTAACTTCACAGAATGACCTGGATGCAGCAGCGAGGGAATATAAGGCAAAAGTGCGGTCACTAGCCGCGAACTTGCAGATGCCAGCTTGTTGGGAATATCTATGCGGAATAAAGCTAAGAAGCCTACTGCTGAGAACTCGCCATCTACTTTCACTTTTCGTGATATTGTCAGCCTATCAACCACAGAGTTACCGCCTCCTACGGAAAGCAGCGGCGCGCAACAGAGCGGTGGCGCTGCACAACAAGTTGCACCAGAGGCAGACGGTGACGAAGCTGGTTCTCTGAAGGCTGCTCTCGATGCTTCTCCTCTACGTGATGCATCGCCTCGATGCCCACGCTGTGGCTCGGATGACGTTAGATCTCGCCACGTTGTGACGATAAAGAGTGCTGACTTTGCGAAGGCGGAAATCTGGGGGTCACGAGCTGACGATAGGACGGGTCTTGATCGCGCGCGCTGTTTTAACTGTCATGAAGAGTGGGACTATGAAGCTTGAAGACCTACTAAATAAGTGTAATTTGGAAATGACTTCTCCAGTAAACGCTGGAGATTGAGCATGGTTTGCATGACGCTGCGCATGCCAATTGCTTAAACATAGATCACGCCATCATCATGATGATAGTAGCAAAGAGTAGTGGCGCAAGACCGACTCGATCTTTTGTGTATATCGCGTTCTGTAGCAGGCCGACTACAGCTAAAGAAACTCGGCGATTTGTATAGTGGCGGTTGGATGTAGTTGCGCAGTGTTTTTAAGAAGCCCAGAATATCACAACCACGACCATGACCATCAGAGAACTTCTGGGGAATGTCTTCCATCCTCGACCGACGCGGAGGCGTTTTATTTGTCATCATGTCTAGAAGAAATATCAGGGTAGCGGCGGCAGCTGTAGCATGAATTTTCTTTCTCGCATTGCTTATCCTTATGCTTGGTGCTCCTGTTGGTTCGTGTCGTCGCGGATGTATTCACGGGATGGGTTAGGGGTAGCTCTAAAATAAGGCAATTATGGCGCACGCACACGACGCGTTGATGCCGCTTATTCCAGGAGCGCATGAACATCTCCACAAATAGATGACAGAAATCGGCATAGAGATACTTCTAATCTAGGTGCTCATTGCGTCGTGAGGTACCCGTACTTCTCTAGGAACTACATACGGAGTACATTGTGTGTGAGAAAGATCTTGTGCGTGAGAAAGATGTGGTACCAATCATGTTCAGAGATTGTACAGTGAATTGATGGCATCTCCAATGTTGAGATGAGATAGATGTTAAAAGAGAAGATTGTTCAGCTTAAAATGTATCAGGTTCTCCCAGTGGTTGTGGTCGTTCAGAGTATTTGCAGTCTAATCTTCTGATCTTCTGTATCTTCTTCACCACGACTTGATGGGGGGGGGATAATAAAAAAGGGAATAAAAGAACAATTATCAAATTGAACGATCTTCTTCCAACAGCACTACCAAACCATCTGAACAACTCGTAACTCATTGAAGGCCATGCATTATACTCGAGCCACTTCGAAAGCATGAACTTTCAGGGACTTAATTCAATATTTCATTTAGTGCCTTCAGCATTCGCTCGGCAAGTGTCTCTTCGATTTAGTTCCAAATAGACTTCTGCCGTTGGACGATCCAAAACAGAGAGAATGTGCAAGCTCCTAACCAAGGCCGTATCTTGAAGATCATTCTCGGGCTGGAAAGACCTGACATGAACGTGCCGGAAAGGCTATGACAAAAGAGAAATGGAGATCAAGAAGATCATACTGAGTGTGAAAAACTTCCTTTGTCTTGTCTTACTTACTAGCAAAAATAACATCAATTGAAATTGAAAACTAAACTATTATGAAGAATGTTGAGCACCACATCCACAACCACAAGAACTGCCGCACGAAAGGTGTCATTCTGATTCTTTGAACATAAAAAAGAGGCCCCGACTATATATCAAAATCCAGAGTATGGTTCCATTAGTATTTTCTTTTTTCGACCGACGATTTTCCATGAGGTAAGAATATAATCTTTCTTTGAGTGGTGCCTCTACTATTTCTTCTCCTAAGCTCATTGTGTTTTTAGTACCTCATCCAAGTCATCAAGCGAGGATCAAAAAAATGCCGGGTGCTCATGTCGATATGGATGCCGACTTGGAGGCGCAAGCGGAGTTCCTGCGATCGGCAACACGATCTACTCGCGTCGTGCGGATGAAATCGAACGGAGGGAGGGACATCCCCACGAACAACAATGTAGCGACTAGGACGACAGCGGACCCCCTTGATGAAAGCGGAACTTCAGGAGCGACTTTAACAAGACCAAAGTCGGCATTAGGAGGCGTTGTCGAGCGAAATGTCGTCGAAGGAACCGTCTCTAACGGGCTTCTCGGAGAGGTAGAGGCAGCGGCAGAAGAAGTGCCAGGCAGTGCTGCAGCAGCTTCGACAACTGCACAGTTACGGATTGCGCATGAGCAGCATCGCGATCCTGAACTACGCCGCATTCAGCGGGACGCTCGCAGGGTGCATGAAGGGTACTTTCGTACCTCCGAGAAGGAAAGTTTCACGGATGACCTGCAAGTTCCGATCAATCCGAGGGCGTTTATCGGGTCATCTTCGCGTCTGGCGAAGAATCTAGGTGATGCGACTGCTTCGCAGATTGCTGGAAACAACAGTACAGGCCGCGGGGGGTTGTCGTTCACCTCTCCAGACGGTTCGAAAAGTGTCCGTTTTGGCAGCCCTGGTTCCCAACCACAACATGCGCCGTCAGCTCTTGGGAGAGCTTCTGTAGAAGTTGATGCGCGTGATGGTTTGGTGTTAGGCCAGATTGTCGAGCGCGACATCGTCGAGCCAGAACAAGACTTGCTCAAGGAAAACCTAGGCGACCCGGAGAAAATGAGGAGCATGGTTCTGGGAAACTACGATCACATGCTCAAGTTTAAGAAAAGCAACACATCAGCGACCACGACCACGTCGTTGTTCGGTAGTATGAAGAGAAATGCTGACGCGAAAGGAGGACTTGGAGTTGGAGGGCGTGCACTAGATCAATCCAAACTTATTCCAAGCGCAACGGATGAAGCAAAGTTCGGCACTAGTAGCGGATCGGCCTCATCTACGGCTTTTCCATTTCCCGCCATGCTCAAGCGGCGCGCTCGACCGCCACCTAGCGCGAGTAGCGCATTGCATTTGAGAACTCGAGCGAATGGTTCACCAAACTCTGAAGTGACTAGAACCTCGTCAGCTGCTCTTTCCTCACATACATGCACAACTACGCCTGCTCAAGCATGTTCTAGTGGTATGCCTCCAATGGTAGGCTCGTTGAGTTCCAGGGCGCGCGACGAGAAAGACGTTGACCCGGAAGAAGTGGACCGTGCTGGAGACGAGTTACTAGCTAAGCTGTCTCACGAAGAGATCCTCCAGAGTAGGCAGACGTTGTTGTCTGAGATGACCGGCGCACAACTCGAGTTCCTGAGAGAACGCGGTCGTCAAAAACTCGCAAGTCGCTTCCCAGGGAGCAGTGTCACGGCTCCATCACCTGGCGGCTCCCAGATTGCTGGAACGCATTCTATCCTTGATGGGGCAGCATTGTCATCGGCGACCTCAGGAGGAACAACGTCAAAGGCAAAGCCAGGCTCGAGTTCTGCATTTCGAGAAAGTGTGCAACAGTTCCGAGAGCAAGGGGGAGAGGTGTATTTGACGAATGAGGACAATGAGATAACGCAAAGCGAGAATGCTGATTTGACCGATAGAGATCAAGATGAGGACGATGAGTCCTTGCCCGATCTCGAGGCGATGGAACTGGGAGTGAAGTTCTCCAAGAAACCCGACTCCAAGTGTAGTATTTCAGGTGATGCGGTTGGACAAACACAAAATAGAAGTACAAAATTAGCAGATGAACAAGCGCATCAAGCTGCATCGAGTGCGGTAGCCCATTCAAACACTATGCAGCTGAAATTTTCAGAAACGGAGCTACGCAAACTTGAGTTCTGGACGCCAGTGCAGCTCCCAGACGAGGCGGTTGTAGACCGAGACGAAATTGCTCCTGAAAACGAAAAGCACGACAAGGAGATGCTGGAGAAGACCCAACAGGGAACGACACTGGAACAAAAATCCGAGAAAGGGGCCGCACAGATGAACAGTACCAGTTGTAAAGCACCAGCTTCTAGTACCTCATCAAATTCATCAAATAATAACCAAGAAGTTTACAGTCCATACTTGGACGAGATGCGATTTGATTTCAATGGCGAGCTTGTGCCAAAGTCTCACTACAGCCGTTTTCCGACACTGTACCATCACGGCACAGCACCGGAGCGTGCAGGCTACACGATTCCTGAACTCGTGAAGTTATCGCAATCTGCACACGATGCTCAGGCAACCATGGCTTTAGAGACTCTGGCGCGTGTTTTTAGCACGGCCTGGAAGCGGAACGGCTTTTCAACGGTGCCCGAAGAGGATGGCATGCTGAAACTGTACCAGGAGCTGCGGGACATTCCGCGGCTCTTATACCCGCATTTGCTCAAGCGAAGCCGCAGCATGCGCCTCGCCGCTTTGAACGCACTGCTGACCTTTCTGGCCGGAGGCGCTGATGAGGGGCTTGACTTGAGCGACAGCGCCGTCCTGAAACAAGTTGCTTCTGTTGAGGAACAACAGCAGGGTGGTCCTCGTGAGGGTGAATCCGCAGATCATGTTGTTTCGGGAAGCGCTAGCGCGTCCGCGAGCATTACTGAAAAAGACTCGGATGCAAGCCGTTGGACTGTCAGCACGGCCGCTTCGGCACGCGGCACGATTGTAAGCTGCGTTTCTTCATCTTGTAACGACCTTTCTGCCGCTGTGGAGCAGCACCAAGGCATCGTCGGTGTTACGCGTGATTCATCCGGTGCCATGAAGTCGCCAGACAGAGACTCAATCCCTGACTTGACTCGGTCGTCGTCAGGGTCTCCTCTAGAAGTACCAGATACCCAGAAGCAGCAAGCAGGTGAAGCGACAGCTACAACAAGAATTTCCGCTGCTGTCGGAGCTGCAGCGACGGACCGCCTTCAGCAGGGAGTCGAAAAAGATGCTCCAACTGCGGAAGTCTCATGCTTCTGGGACGATGCGCGTTACACGACATTCGTGGACGTCGCTTCCGAAGTTCTGGATTGTGATTTCTTCGCGGAGTCAGGCATCTTTCGCCGGCCCGTGCAATCTTGGCCTGAGTTCGCGGATCACGTAATGCGCCTGGCCTCGTCGCGAACCGAAAAAGAGAGCGGTCGGAAGAAAACTAGTGCTGCGGGTGGTACTTCTGAGGTAACACAGGGAAGTTCGTCAACTTCCTCGTCAGAGGGAAAATCTGGTAAAGATATTGGCGAAATTAGCGTTCCCCTTCCGTACTTAGATCCTATACTTCTATTGACGCATTTGATGGCCATGACAACTCAGTACCGCTTGCAAATGACGGAGGCGGAAACGCTTCTGACGGTGAAAATATGCATCACAATTCTTCCATACCTGAAGCTGGATAGTCCATTTGCAGAGGGCGAAGAAGATGATAAGAACATGGGCCATGATGATACAGAAGATGATAAGAACAAGAGTGGAGCACCGGACTCATCGGCCGGCAATGGAAGTGTTAGTTTCCAAGTGTTGACTTTTATCGTGAATTTGGTGATCCAGAACCATTGGTTGGACAAGTACCTCCTAGATCTATGCACGCCCTTGCCAGAGCTGCGCTTGGCGGTGCTTCGGCTATTGAGGTGCAGCTGCGACATCGGTGGTGTGCGCGTTTCGCAGTTGTGGCTTAGTCTCGCCAGCGGGGAGCAGCATTTGGTCAATAGTAGTGGGTCTGCAACAGAACATCCTCAGGGAGACGAATCTAAGATTCTAGCCGCAGTTCGTCAGGCGATCATCGGAACGGTGTGTGGCTGCTGCGCGGCCCCCGGGCCAAACGACTTTCCATCAACCTTGCAATTCTTACGGTGCATTGAGGGCTTGCGGTTGTGGACAATCTGGTCTCGCCAGGGTTTAGGCGTGGACGAAGAGCTCGACGTTTTCGTACCGCAGTTGGTGCAATTCCTCTTCTTGTACGAAAAAAGATCCAGTCCGGTACTCTTTCGTGCTGCTGCTGCATTCGTTTTGCGCTTTTTCACGGCCGTCTTTGAAGCGGCGGAGGCAGAAGATGAAGAGCAAGACATCGAAGACGAAGAGGAGATCTCAGGACTATCGCGAAGGATCAGACTTGCAGCTGAGCATTTCCTGGCTGGCCATTTTGTGGCTCAGTTGATGCCCTGTTTCCAGCGAGTTTGCCCGATTCTCTATCTCCACTTGCAACGGTTCCTTCGTAAATTGCGTACAACACCGTTAATCCGATCTGCCTTGCGGGAATGTTTCGAATACGAGCCTCAACTGGAGGAAGACGCACCGAGAACCGGGGAACCTAAATCAGATGTTGTTCTTGAGGCATCTCTTTTACTATCTGAACAAGGTGGGTTTCTTGAGCATACTCTTGACAAATTTGCGCGTCACAGAGTCGCAACTCCCGACTTTCCGACCTTGAATTTCCGGTTTGACGAAAACGTTCGTGCATTACTGAGACAAGCTCTGTGCATGTCAAATGCAACGACGAGGAAGATAGCATCTTCCTCCAGTCCTTCGACACAAAACCAGACTACAACATTAACATTTTCAACTGAAGCCGATTTGATGTCACAATTCTTTGTGAAAAATGTTGCATCTCCTTCCTCTATGCTGGGTTCTACTCCTAGTTCCATCAAGGGAGAATCGCCATTGCAATCATCGGTATTTCCAAGGAAGATGGACAAGGAAATAGAAGAGACCAAAACTTTTTCGCTTGCAGAGTTTGCTGCATCTAGAACCCGGATTTCCATATCACCGGCTGCGGACGCCTTAGCACTTGTCGGCGAGCCTGCACTCTACTACGCGATGGCGTCTGGATGCGAGGATATCAACGGACACTCGTTGTGCAGTATCCTCGAATCACTTTCGAACACGAACCTTGAAACTTTCTCTACCCCCGAGCCTCTCAGATTCTCGTGTCTGTGCCTGTGTGTCTGCTACTTAGTTTTGAACTCAAGAAGTAAAGGAGACGACGAAGAGCAGCGCTGTCGTGCGGTATTGAGAAAACTATTCTTCTTTCCAGAACTACCTCCACTACGACAACTCGGGCTAGTACCTGCAACTGGGACGACCACAGGACAATCATCATCTGGATCTGCACTGGAGCACAATAATATCAAGAACGATCATGCTGGTGTTGACGAGCCTTCTAGGAGTACTAGTAGAACCAATACTAATACGAGGGCCTATGAGGACCTTTTAGCGGAGGTATGCGACAGGCTGATAGTCTTATTCGAGGAATTGACCTTCGGAGACACTCTTGTGGGAGAGTATCTTACTTTCTTCGCATCGGATGCGGCGCCAAGCATTTGTCGGAGGAAGATCGAGGAAAGCGCTGTGCCGATGTTGTTAAACAGGGGGTGAAGTGCTGGATACTCCCTTGTATGAAGAGCTGTGTTTGGATCAAGAAACCAATTTTCTTTCATGTTCAATCGTGTTGTTTGTTCTTGGTAAGTTGAGTAAAAACGAGGTGATCAGGTACTTACTCGTCACGTACTAGTACAAGACGCAAGACGAAACGCAGCCGCACGGCGTCGACTGATTCTCTGTAGACTCCGCGGTCCTGAAATCCCGTAGAACTATCACAACCTCCACAGACGATTTTCCGTAGAGTTACACGCCAAATGGAGCTGCCTGTTTTTAGTTCTTGTTATGTTGACCCTTATCGTTTGATACGAAAGGTCAAAGATCATGCGGTAGAACCACCGCTCTCTTGTGCATGCGAATGAGATGTGTTCGATTAATATGTTCTTATTTGCATTGTTGCTGGTGCTTATTCCGAGTGGGAATTGTTCAAGTTTGCGTCATGATGTACTTGTACTTGAACAGATCTAGTTGAAAGAAATTTTAAGGTCACTAGAGAAGCTTTGTTTACCGATCAACAACCACATCTTCCGACAGTTACACGACATGCAGAAACGATTATACTGAAGAATCGTCTGATTCTGATATGGTGCGAAATAAAGATGCTTCGTCAACAAGAAGAGAGAAGACTGGCACTGGCGCTGGTGTAGTCTTTCGGAAGCAGCATCGATCTGAATTCGCACGTAGAGTATTTCCCGCCGCCGTTTTCGAAGGGTACAACGACAATGCGAATATGCGGCGAAGTGCAGATGTTGCCGTGCTTTTATTTTGGAACGACGTGATCCAAGTAGTACGTAATGCTGATGGCTCAACCTTGATGGAGACGCGAATATATCAATACAAGACTGCTCGCGCAATTACGGACGCAAGAAAAAGAGGCGTCGAAAGTTTCGTGGTAGTTCGTTTGGTTGAAGAGGGGGACGAAAAGGATCATGTCCGCACTAGCCCTGCGGCTTAAAGTCGCATTGCTGAGCAGCGCCGTGCGTTCGACGTTGCGCTTCTTGGCAATGGTATCCACCAGGCTGCTTTTCTTTGGCGTATTGCGTCAAAAGAAAGATTTGGCCATCCACTTTCTATTTGAATATCCTGAAGACCAAGACCAAGAAGACGCCATTTCTTGTGTTCCCTCCCTCGGAAAGCATCAGCAAAGGCATCAAGGCGGCAGGCACACAATAACCTCGACGAAGCTTCTTGGGGACTTATTACTCACTTTAGAGATAGAGGGCAAGCTTTCCTATGCAGATACTGCAAAAATGTCTGCGAAGCCTATAGATCATTTTTCGGACGAGGACGAGGAAAAACCGCTGCGAATTTCAGTTTCCGATCACATTGACAGAATGGACTACAGTGTTGCTCACGGGGATTTCATCTCCAGAGTTGAGAAAAAAATGAGCGAGGTACATGCTGCGATGTCCCCTGGAGGTAAATCCAAACCTTCGCCGCCTGAGATTGTCAATCGTTTTCGAGGGCATGGGTGGCGGCAAAGCCGGAGCATTTCCGTCGTCATCGGCACGGTTCACCAAGGCAAGGCGAATCCGGGCGAGACTTGTCTGCATCTGCCGACGGGAACCGAGTACCTCATTCTCGCGGTAACTCCCTTTCATTTTCCAATCTTGGAGATGCTGTATGCTTCCAGGGGACGAGGAGAACACGTTCTCGTATTTGTCAAATAAGTAGAATTCGAGTATCGACAAGAACGAGGAGCACCATTAAGTCGATGCGAAATGCGAGGTCTAATTTGATAGTGTGGTTCTCCGAAAATCTCCATGCAAAAATTCTTTAAGAGCATGGGAAATTTCATGTCTACATGGTAACAATGAAACTGTATACAACCGGTGTGCCATGACGCGTGGGCGCTATTGCTGTTTTGAAGCTCTTCCTCTGATTATAATCAGATTTAGAGAGTGGGAGTGCACAGACACTTTTTGTCTTCCATCTTCCAAGTAGAAGTATAGGACGAGGACCTGCACAAACAGCACAGTAACCAGAAAGAATAGAACTGCTAGGCCTAGGATAAAGATCACAATTAATTGCACTATGACACGAGCACTCCATTAACATGCTCTAGGGATAGTACGTGTTTTCATTTGAAAACACATTAATTTGGACTTGAAAGCTAGGGTGTGACACTCTTGTTGAGTATGTGGACGGATGGCAACATGTCAATTGTCCTACCTCCTTCTAGATCCAGGACATCCTTCCCGATCCTTTCCACTTGGATCTGGGTGGTCGAGGTAAAAAAGAATTGGTCCTTGCGGGGTTCTGTTCTTGAGTGACTTGGATTCCGATCTGACGCGGATCGTAGAGATGAAAGTGAAGGCTGGATTGATCTAGCATTTAATCCATAAGCAGTACGTGAAATTGGTGGCGAGAAGAAAGTTTCATGCGTTCTGTATCTGTCTTCGGTGATCAACAAAACGAGATGGGAGCACTAAATGAGAAATCGGTCGTAAAGATTTCGCACACGATCGGTACTCTGATAAGCGTGTTGAATTTGTGATATAACAGAACTCCATAGAAATTGACGAATTTATCGTTCTCCTGGTCATGTCCAGAAAATGTTACATCTCTCGTCAATTACGGCGAAGGCGAACAAGATCCTGCTCAGACATCATCTACATGAACCTTTCCACACACTCTCCACACCGATGCTCACTCTCTGATTTCCCGCTCTCACTTTCCCTCTCCAGCGAACCTCCCTCTTTGTCTGTCAGCTGACTCTATTAATCTATGTAGAAGAACTACTGACTTGCTTCCTAGTGCACACAATCAAGATATTTGATAAACGATCTCTCGTATATTTACTAGTAGCTGAGCTCTTGCTCTTCTTGTTCTATGATCATGGTATATCAACATCTTAGTGCACCGTAGCTATGTCAGACTCAGATTAGAAAGACTAAAACATCTGAAACCATAATATTGTTGTTGGTTTCTCTTCGTGAAAACGAGGATTAGTGATTCATTTGATGTGTAGAAAAATCTGCGCGAGGTCGAGTTGTCAACATTCGAATGAACACTTTTTGATTCCAAGAAAAAGAACGGAGACGGTGGATTTTCCTTCTTGGGTCAATCATTAACAATTAAACGATTAGAATCAATCATCTCCAGTTGTATCAATCATGCCATCGATTGTCTCGTCATGCTTCGCTGAAGCCATGTGGGGTGCGCCGAGTCCAAGCGCGTCTTCATCGTTAAGTAGCGGGCTGAAGCACTATTACGGACCCACGGGACAACGAAACCCGGTCGATCTTTTCGATGCCAGCATGCCTACATCAATGTTGCCACGAAAAGCACCACACGGGTCAATCGTTTCTTTCTCGCCGAGCTTCATAGGTCCCAGTTTGGAACAAGACGGAGCAACAATGTGTTCGTCGGTAAAACCCAGACGTCGGCGGTCGTCTTTCTCATCAAAGATAGATCCAAGCGTGCCCACAACGACGAACTTTCTTGATCAACCAACTAGCGCTTTAGGCGCAGCGCAAGCCGGCGGAAAAAAAGTGGGCAAAACACTGCACAACGTCGAGGAAGCAGCTGAGGAGGGGATCGAATCCTTGTTGGAGCACGCAAATAATTACTTTACGGTACTACAAATACTTTACGTACTTATACTAGATGCGATGAAGTTCCGTTTCTTTTTACATGATACATCGTCACGACTTATTTCATCATAAAGATTCAGATACGTCTCGTTGTACTTGTCCTCACGACCACTTCTGCTATAGTCTAAACTATGAGTATGAGCCAACATATTTCAAGACCTATGTATTAGCTATGTCATTGTCGATTGAGAAATTCGTCTCGTCTTTTACTGGACGCCTATCAAATAAGTTGAAGGTGCAAAAATTTACACAAGCCGAAAAAAGTAAAAGAACTGGAAATCTATCATCCTCATCATCATCATCATCATCATCTTCAGTACATCAATTACGTGGCGTTCGGTACTTCGGTAGCAGCAGGCCTATTTGGTCTTTACGCATTGCAGCGGTATCAATCTCTGCGGAAACGATTACGGCTATTCCACGATCAGCGGAGCGGTGCCATTGAATGAAAACAAAAAACAGCTTGTTCTACAACTTCTACATTCATGTGGAGGTCGATCGTGAGGCATTCCATTCGCCGTGCTGATGATGCATTTACTCTTACAAGGAGTGAAGTAAATACTTGTAGTCAGCAACTGATACCTGGTTTCCTCTTGGTCATCAGACAGACGAACGTGGAGGTTATTGCAATCGCCAGCACAGACGAACAACACTGAAGATGTACCCTAAGAAAGAGGCGAGGACCTTGTTGATTACTGCTTCCTAATGTATCAAAATGGTCTTTGAGGAGGAGGACCGACGCAGCAGCGTGGTGTTCGATCGGTTCATAAGAAGAGAGTGCGGCGCATTCGCGCATTGAAGACAGCTTCGGCCACCTGCTCAGTGAGGTACATGATGACTTGTTGTCGGTCGAGTTGTGACGAACGAAGAGACCACCCATCAACGCCTCTGTCTTGTTGATGCATCGGCTTCACGCCGGGAGGAGTTCAAAAGACGAGAAACTCTACTTTGAAAAACGTGTGAAAAGTTAAAGTTATTAACGACTAGTGTTTATGTATATGTTAGCTTTTTCGATGTTGTTGTTGCCGACCGCGAACGGAATCGAAATTATCATATTCCAAACTCACTTATAGCAGGTGGGTCCCCAGCGACTTGTGGTTGAGTTTCGCCTTTTAAATTTGATTACGAAGGGGAAGGGGTACCGACTACTGTACCAATTAATCCACTTCTTCACTACCTAAGTTTTTTTTTGATTTGAGTATAAGTTGTAAATTAATTACAATTCGCTTGATCATGTCTCTGTTGATTGAGTTGTAAATTAAGTAGTTTGTTTGTTCGAATTCGGGCTCATTGTTTTTGCTACAGCAGACAGGAACTGTGGTTGCTGGTTGAAAAAGTAAGTTAAAAAACCGATACTTAGGCTCTCCTTTGGAGGTACCTTTGTATTGAGTGGCCTCAAGAGTAGATATCAAATGCTACATAATTAAGGGGCTCTATGACATGACATGACCTATGCTGTGACTTATCACAGATACTACATAAACATTATTCAATCTACTTTTCTTTAAAGATTATAAACATACTACAAGTTTTTGCAATTCCATGGGGGATTCTTTGTTTCAATAATCTGAGCGAGGTCTGCCTCTGCTCGACGTTCACTAGCTCCGCCAATGTCCTGTGGTCTTTTCGCGGAGACAAACAATCGACGATTATACCCATCGTGATGGTCGATCATGATTATTGGAAGCAGCACACTGGTAGAGGAGGACGCCGAGAGACGCTCGATGATGGCGTCGCTGATGACCCTAAGCAGTTGGAGTGGATGCGCGACCGGATGCGTAAACAAGGAGATCAACCTTTTACTGGTCGCGGGGAAAGACCAGACGAAGGGGCTGTCTTCAATGATTAAGGCAGCTTTCAAAAGTGATGAGCATGAGAAATCTGAAACAAGCAAATATTGTTATTCATGGTCTTTACGAAACCATGGTGGTATCGTCATGCAGAGAAGTCACTTTTTCGACAGAAAGAGATTTTCTTTTTATGTCTTCTTGTTTTGAGTTAGTGCTCAACTCACAAGAAAACCGAAAGAAAAACAGAGTACGTTGTTGAATAACCACTACCTCTACCCTTCTGCTTTTCGAAGTGAGCGATGACCTCATCTCGTCTTGATCTTGAAGTTCTAAAATGATGACAGGTCGTCCGTGCTCTCGCAGCTCCTCGCGACTCCAGTAGCAGCTTTCTCGAGTCAAAAATTATTCGGAGATGAAGACGGCCATGATATTAGCTGTCATGGTACTTCTTCTAGCTCAACCTCTACATCATCTTCATCCTCAAGCTCAAGCGCCGGCGATGGTAGCTCAATCTCAAGCGCTTGCCCTGGTGCTAAAAAGTAGGACTATTTGTATTTATGGGGGGCAAACGCTCATGATCATAATGGCTCTCCTAATTATGCTCAGACTTGGTTGGTGGTGGCTTCGCAGAATCACGTTCCAGACAGAGGAAGACGCTGGTGCTGGTTTTGTTACTCCGACTTCCAGAAATAGTAAAAGGCCTGGTAGTGGGAATGGTAAAAATAGGCAAATCATGGATGTGGACGGGGAGTCCCCTGGGCAAGAAAAGTATGAAGTGCATCACATAAACAAAAGACGTGAAAAGAAGCAGCGACATGCGATTGAGGACCTATGCTTGGAGGAGCGACAACGACAAGAGAGATCGCCTTCACCTCAACATCTACTTGGAGAAGATCGAAGGACCTCTTCTAAGATCACAAATTATCATGATCATGAGACAGAATATCATCGGCAAGAACGTTGTCCATCATCACAACATGATGAGCAATCCCATTCACAAATAGGTGAACCGCCCGTCTTGCAAGTGCCTGATGCTGGTTTCCATAGAGGTCAAGCAGAAACGGCACCGGCTTTGGAGCCTGCTGTGCGACCACGTTCTAACTCCGCCAGATTAGAGGTTCCATCTCTACCAGAAGATGCGGATGATCCTGAGGAGTTTCCACCACCAGGACTAAACGAGTCACCGTCACGTCTCAATGGAGCGTTGAATATGGATGAAGTAACATTAAGGCTCCAAGGGTCATTTTTTTTCCTCTGTTTGTTTTTGGGAAATTGAAGAAATTAATAAATATGAACCCAAGAAATTAATTGTTTTGCGCTCTAATGACACTGGGCGCGTTCTATCGAACACACAAGGAGAGACTTCTCGAAGTATCACGAGCGATGACTACGCTTTTGCAATTGGGAAACGTTGACGGCGTGGGCGGACGAGATCAACTTCATCTCTACGACCATGCCATTTCGAAGAACGTTGGCGATTTTACTCAGCTTTTCCTGGGTATGTGCGACGTGATGGAGACCGCGGCGGCATTTCTAGAGAGAGAGTTAAGGCGACCGCTGGAGCATCGTCAACATCATTCTTGGCCCTTTTTTCAAGGGGAAAAGGCGCCCAGGGAGGCCCCCAGGGATGCGAGCGCGGTAGCTCTAAGAGAAGGCCCAGCCGAGCCTTGTGCAACGCTCTATGACTCGGTCTCTCCCGTCTTGCAAGCGAACGACAGATCCAGAGCTACTTCCCCCAGTTGTCAGCCTGGTGGGCATCAATCCTACGCCCATATAAGCAACAGTGTAGAGCAGGCAAACACAGAGGAGGAGGACACCACGATACAGAGAAGGTCTCATCGTGACACCTTGCGGACACCACCTCAAGAACAATATCTACTACTGCCAGAGCGTACTTACGTTTGTTGACGGACCTGACGAGGTTGATGTCCTGTCTTCTTGTTCCACTAGTTCCAACACGCATCCGACGTCAACTGCAACTATGGATTCCATAACGTAAAGAAACTACGTTGTAACTAGCGGATGAAATCATTTTGACAATACAACTTGTCGTTGTCCGAGCAGCGACGTAAGAAGCAGATCAACTACGACTAGAACATGAACAAGCAACTTCGATGAGCAAGAATCACCTCGAGCTGCGCCATCTTTGTTTGGTGAAGCCGATATCGAGAGGGTGGAGGCCGCTTTCAGGTCCCTGGAGGAAAGGGAGGCAGAAAACAAGAGAACGCCACTGGTCCTAGACGCACTGACTGCTGAGAAACTGCGCACACTTGAGCACGGAGGTGCTATCCTTGGCTCATCTTAATCGGCCACCGGGACGGGCTCTTCAAGGGAGATGTTGGATGTTGGAACAGGAGGATACTCTGCGACTCAACAGCTGAATGAGGTGGATGACGACTTGAGGAGCGTGGTTGCCTACAACACAGACTTCACAGATGGAACACGCGTAGCCCTGGGGGAAACTTTACACGGTGCTCAGAAGAGAAAGAAATGGGCGATAGAAAATTGGAGAATCCGCCGAGCCCGAGCTCAAGCGCGTGGCAAAGTCATCGAGAGATATCCTGCATCCGCCGACGGCTTCGAACATTAAGCCTAGTTGTACCGATAGACACTCATCCTCACTGCACCTTCATCTACGCATTTTGATACTTGTACTCACACAATTTTTATTTTTTGATGAAGAGCAACTAATATGATATTGATAAGTTGTTGAACAGCTAAGTATAGCAAGAAATAGATGAGCAAGCTATTAGATCCTTGTAGCATTTACTACAACTCTAAGACCGACGAAATAAGAAAAAACCTCTTGTGTTGAAAGAGCACGATGGTGTGCGTGTACTAGAAATCGATGATCGGGCGCGAAAAGTTGTGACAGTGTACGACACAAGTGCAGTAATCGGGGCAGATGGGCCACACAGATTGGAGCCGCTCTCGATAGGCGCTTACGTAGTCAATCATGAGAAGAAGAAGGAACTCCACACAGCTGGCGTTGCATCAAGTACTAGCAGTACTGCACGAGGAAAAAGTAGTGGAAGCAACAACAAACCTTCAGTACCTCAAAAACGCAACAAGAACGACTCCTCTCAGGATGGATGGTCTGACGCAAGGTATGACGTGACTGACCTACCGAGAAGCAGCGACTTGCAAGGTCCCATCGTAGTCAGGAGGATGCGCGGCGGTCGGGAATTATCGGCCATCTTGAATTTGAGTGAGGTTTTCGATCACGCAGATTTTCGGCAAGAGCCCTCGTATACGTATCCGTTCCGCCCGGTTAATAAATCAAAAGCAGGACGAGCACCGTAAGGTGGACCGAACGCCGAAGAGCTTTCTACAGTAGTCCCACCGCTCGCGCCCCCCCTCTTATAGCGGTGGCCTCTTCTTGCTCTTCTTCCATGCGTGACGCAAATGCGTCACGCACGCGTCACGCCACGCATCACACGCCCGAGGATTGACCACGGGCGCACGGGTCGGCCGTGGGCCCACGAAGCGACCATGGACCCACGAAGCGATCATGCACCTACGAAGCGATCGCTGACCCACGAATCGATCGCGGACCTTCGAACCGATCGTGGGCCTTCGAATCGGTCGTGGACCTTCGAATCGATCATGGCCCCGCGAATCGATGGATCATGGACCCACGGAGCGATCATGGGCCCTCGGATCGATCATGGGCCCTCGAGTCGATCATGGACCCTCGAAGCGATCGCCTCGCGGGCCCTCGCATCGATCAGGGACCCTCGGGTCGATCGTGGGCCCTCGAGTCGACCATGGGCCCAGCATGGATCTCGCGCGGCCGCGTGAAATGTGGAGAACATCGCGCACGCGACGCTAGCGGCGTGACTGACAACCACAAGAAGAGCAAGAAAGAACTCCCAAGAACAGCGCAGTAAGTGCAAAGATGTGACCGCTCAAATCTAAGCCTTTCCCCCACGTTGTTGCGTGCTGCGTGACGCTTAGAATTGAATGGAAGCGCCTCGCTTCCCCCCGAGGCTCTGTGCGTGACGCGGTGGGCGTCACGCGTCACGTAAAAGCTCTTCGGCGTTCCGTAAGTCCCACGGACGAGCGCCACTCCTGAGGTCCAGAGAGCTGCAGGAAAGTCCGCAATGCTTCGAAATCACGAGCCAGTAGCTGGAGGAACAAGTGCAGCCCTCGACACAGCCACTACAACTGATGGCCTGAACGGTCCGCCCGACAATGGTAATGGTAAACTACAAGAGACTTGTCCTCTCATTCTCGCGCCGCCCTTCGTCGTGCCTGTCGAAGTTGAAGAAGTGAATCAACCAAAAACTGATACGAAGATAGAACAAACAGGTGAAAGTAAGTATAAGCATAGAACATCAAACTCAACATCGACAAGAGACCCACACGACCCATGAGACCGATCATGTTGAATCTCCGAGGAGCAAGAGAAAAAAGGAATTTGAGCTACGGGTCTCACAAGTAAGAAACTGGAGTCCACCGGGTAAAAGCAGGAAGCAGAACAACGTGGAACCCGACGCAGAGATGCCAGAAGCTCCACCTAGTGTGGATTCCCCACTGGTGTTACAGGAGATTAAGAGTGCCATCAAGGAGCAGAACGAACATGAAGTCACTGGTTCTGGCTGCGCGAACACTAAAATAAAAATCGAAGGAAACTTAACAGTCTCGCAAGGAGCAACACTCTTTCTTACGATTGTGACTGGTGCTTGGACCCCCTTGAATCGCACGGCAGTGCGCACAGTGAACAAACGGAATGTATGAGACAGAAAAATTTTGGCAGCGGAAATGTCGGAAGAACTGTGAAACTGCTGCGAATCCGGTGTACTCAATATGTAGATCATAAATCTGTTAAAGCCATGGATCTAAGGTCACGAGCAGAATCGTTTATCTCTGCCTAGGAAAACTTCCCATCGGATTGCAGTTGGCCGATCCAGAGTTCGTATTTGAGGAGGGAGCCGATACGAGCCCGCCCAGCAGCCTGGGAGCGGGGTCTTTCTTACCTGCTCGATGCACACCTGATACAGGCTCGTCGAGCCTATCTAGTATGCCTACTCTGTGTGCAGTTTCTTCTGCTAGAGGGAAGAAAGGCGGGACACGGACAGCACGAGAATCGCGACTACGTGGAAACCATTTTCAGGGAAAAAATTTGAAAAAACAAAAATCGATGCTGGCGAGCATTGCGGAGGAAGAAGAGGAAGATGAAGACCATGGCAAGAACGTCCTAGGCGGTGTACGACTAGACTTGAAACAGTCACGACATCGAACTGCAGCACGCCTAGAAGCGAAAATGCAACAAAGGGCCTCATCTTCGCCGATAGATGTTCTCACCGACGCAAAGTACGTTAGTGACCCAGGAAGTCTGCCACGCTTGTGCATTGAGGCGACCCCCATCCGAAACTCAAGCTGGACGCTTGTCTGGGCTATTGTCAAGATGCCACTCGAGCAGGTGGACAGAGTAGGACATCAACATGGACAACAAAACGAACAACGTACTTGTACTACTAGTACTAAAGGTAAACAAGCAGGAATATCGCTCTTCCCGCATAATTTTTCTCAGATCGTGTATCTGGATGCCGTAGCACAGAGCTCTGCCTGTATTTTTTCTTGTCGAAGAGAGAGACCTCCGAATTTAATAGATAGGAATTGTTACATACAATGTGGCTTCCGAGAAACACATCTTCCTTGAAACTAAAAGGAAAAGATGATCCTTTTCACAATGACATGACAGGATCCACCTCATGGAATTTATACCATTGCCATCCTCGTGGTCGGCCTCTCTCGCATCCGTTCTCCTCGTTGTGATGGAAAGAACAAAATGGCACGACGATTCGCATGCAGGACTTTTTCTAACTGCATGAGGAAGGTCGAGATGAGTACAAAGATTTTTATAGAGATAAAAAGGGATTGATGATGTAGTTGTAAGAGTAAGATACTGATATAAAGGGCAGCAGAATATCAAAGAGATGAATAGACAATTTATACGGAGCATTGACTCTGTAAAATTAAATGAAACAGCCACATTGCGTTTGCGGACCAAGAAATCAGAGCACCTGCGCATATTATCAGGTAACGAAATAGATAGTTCTCTCTTGAGATCTTCGTATAAAAATCACTCCTAGAAGTAAAAGTATGACGTTTAGAATCTGCAGTTCAAGTTGAAGTTGTTATTTATCTAATAACTAATTAGTATTACTTCTTTTGTTTGATGATTCTTTATTGCAGATAATGAGGTTTATCACAGCCACAACTCATTTGTTTCAGGAAGGGTAGAATAACTGGGTAGGGTGAAACGTGACGAATTGATGAGAGTGACGAGTATTTCAGTATCAGTGGATGATGAGAAGTTTTGCTTTTGCTGCATCACGCTTCGCTTTTGCTTTAAATGTTTTTGTTTTTACCTAATCATACATAGGATGCTTTAAGATGGAAGAATGTACGGGTTACAAGCCATAATCACTTCCGTATCTCTTAGTCTTCTCTGGCACTTCTCTCGCGCTTAACACGTCATTCGCGTGCCTCAGTCTACATCTAGTTGCTCCTCTTTAGACTCCTGAAATTCAGAATAACAAAAATGGGCGGGCTTTGTCTCTCGTTTTTCTCTCAGTGTTCCCGACGATTTTGGGCATGCGATCACCTCGTCTAGCATGCTGATCGACGGTTCAGTTGTTCCCTCCTGGTCGCTTGAGGGAATCATGCACCAAGAATTGTGACGGCGCCGTAGAGGGAGCTACCGGCCAGAGGATTCACGGGAGGACCCAACTGTAATTTCTGCCGATCCGGTGCTTAATGCGCAGGGCTGAGGCGGGAACCCCTCTAAATCTACGATAGCGACGAAAAAATGACAGTGGCGGCAATCGCGACCGCGCCTCTGGTATTGGAGCGCTCGGCTCAGGAGCAGTCGGATGCCGCGCTCACGGCTTACATGCGTGAGTTGTACACTTACTTTTACTTGTCTGGTGCTCATTGGCATACTCGCCAAACAGCATCATGCGCATAGAACTTATCAACAAAACTTCTCGTACTCGTTCTCGTAATATCGTCAACAATACGGCAAAAAATACATAGTCCTCACAGCGACAACAGCGTCGCAACAAGTTATGTATGCTTGTGCCATCAGGAGGTAGTAGTAAAATCAAAATCTTTGAATCTGATCCCCTCTTTATCTTTAGGCATCGCGAGGACACAAGGCTCGAACGCGATGTGGCTGAGCTGTATGCAAGCGCACTCGACCTCCTAGGGATGGCCAGCGACTCAGCAGATTTCGGGAAAAACATTCTCGAGGTTGTGATGGCTTCATCTACGGCACCCTCTGTGGGATCTATGAGGTACTCATTTTCATTATGTCACAGTCCAGGTGGTCCACTGAGTCGGACCTTGTCCTGCATTATTTGCGCTCACGATTGATATTAACTAGTAGTTAGAAGTACAAATTGATAAAGAGAAGTAGTTGTAGTTTGTTATGTCCGTACGAGTTGTGCTTGAAGAGAAGTCTGTAATCATAATTTCACCATCATCACCACAGCTACGATCAACACACGTCATCACTGCATGGCGATGACGCTGGAAAGCTGGTACGCACAATCGACGACGCGACGCTGGGGAAACTCGTAACAACAGTGAAATCCACACGAGATGCTGCCGAGGAGCTGTGTCACCCAGTGAGAACGCTAGACTTGACAGCGAGCAGGATTCAGGCAACGCTGGCTCTGGTTACTGAATTGTTGGAGGTTCGTGAATGTGGCGAGAGCATTGGCGCTGCGATAGCAAACAAGGATTACGAAACTGCCGCTAAGTGCGTAGCAAAATACAAGAGCGCTACAGTTGTATCCGAGCAGCATGAGGCAGCACTTATTAAGGCTTCCCCTAAAATAGATCCATCTGCAGATACATAGTACATCTTGGAGGAGCTTTTCCGTAAGGGGAATAAAACGGCCTCAAGATGATGAGTCTCAAGATGGAAAGGCAAAAGGGGTCAGCGCTAAACTTAGCAAAGATGGCAACTCATCTGGTACTTCTGCAAGTAGATCACGGGAGCCTCTCTTAGATGAGGAGGTACTGCTGAAACTAGAAGACGGCAAGAGACGGCTCGCAGCGATCGTCAGTGAGCAATTCGAGGTCGCAATCAAAAACAAGGACCAAGTTGCTGTATCGCGGTTCGCGAAGCTCTTTTACTTATGCATGGATTATTGCAAGCGAAAGGGTTTGACGTTTATACCCCACAGGTTTTTTGTGCCCTCCCTCTCGTCGGTCTTTACTCGCACGAGAAGTTGCCTATCTGAATGCCAACGCCATTGTCTCAATCATGAGTACTTTCCTTGTTGGTAGCTGCTTTTTATCTTCTAATTTCTCCTCTCGGCCTCGCAGATTCAGCGGTGACCGCTTACATCCAGTTCATCCGAGATAGAATTAGAGAAACGGCAACCGCCAGTGTCCAGAAGCTGCGGCGTTTGAACCTTGGCGCTGGCGGCTCCAGCGGAAAAATTAGTGCCGCGACGTCCATGCCTGCGTACGCGGAGACATTGTGGTCTGTCTTCGCGCACATCAGTGAAATCCTGCAGCAAAACAAGGACAACATAGAGACCGAATTCGGCATCGATAACTATGTGGACTTTTTGCGCGGAATCTACGCTGAGGTGAGCATCCAGCAAACAAAAATTCTCACTCTTTTCAAAGAACAGGAATACAACAAGATGCTGCTGGATGTGCAACAAAACCAACAGAAAAAGGCAGCAGGCAGCATGGGTGGAGGGAGAAGCAGCGCTGTTATGTCATGGATTCTATGCTCATAATTACTTAAGCTTGACGTTTTACTTATCTGATGACAATGAATCTTCTTCTTTTTTCGTTTCTGCATGAGTACTTTAACTTTCACTCATCAGGTAAAATCATGTCTTCAATCTTCGTAGTCCCCCAGCACTTCTTACATATACATCCATTACCACCATCTAACATTCCTGCACCGTCGGGCGTCGCATCCAACAAAGAGAAGATTAGGCTCGTCTTAAGCATGATGCAGGCTCTATTACAGAAAAGCGAGACTTTCGATTGCTTTATTCGTCGTCTCATCACAGACGCCCACATGGGAGCCCTAGATAGCGGCGCTGATCATTATGATTCTACGACTACTGCAGCACATCATCCCGTTGTCTCCTCGGATCCAGAGCTCATGCCTGAGGAAGACCGCCAACACCAAAGAAGCGAGGCGCCATCTATTAAGGCCCTCAATATTATGTGTAAATACATGATAGAGATCAATATCAAAGTCGAGCTGAGTTGTAGATGAACTTCTTTCATCTCAATTATGCGAAACATATCAACCAAGACATCAAGTAGGACTAGTAGGATTGAGGTCCATTTATTTCAGGCACCCCCACCGGTTCCAGTAACGGTATTAGGTGACAGTATATTTAGAATTTAATATAAGTGTGAATAGTTTGAATTTGTTTTATTTCTCTGAGTCATTGATTTTGATGTGGCGCTCAATTTCTAATTTGAGAACATCAACCAACTTGGCGAAGGAGCGAGAGATCGAGGGCATTGTGCATTCCATAGTCGGTGAGGCGGAGGCTACGAGAGCTGCGCAGGATTTGGTTAGTCATTACGTGCTGTTGCAGAGTGCGCTACTGCAGGTAGAAGTGCAAACCGCATTAGACCTGGACGAGGTAGATGTTGAGGACCCAGACCCTGGTCCATCCAGTTTAGTGGACAACGTCTTCTTCGTTCTCAAAACAACTGTGGAAGCTTCTATGGAAACGTACTTTTTTATACATATTAATTTATATTTTATTAGGTAGGGAACATGAACAAGTGCTTGCATATGCATCTCCATCTCCACCTCGTTTTGTGAAAACATGTACATGACTCCCGCATGACTCTCCTGTCACATCAATTACGACGAAGACCAAGATGGATCATGTTGTCATGTCATGGCACCTCTTTTGTCGCTATTAATGGCTACTTATGAGGCCAGCCAACACCACAGTACCTCACTCGGAGAGCTACGGATCCGGTCTATAAAAATGAACTAGCAACCACAGTTCTTGTCTTCTGTCTCTATACTAATAGACTTTGGAGGCGTACTCCCTGTCTTTAGTATTTATTAGAGCCAGTTCTTGTTTGGCTCCAGGACGATAGTGGCTCCAAAGGACGATGAAGAAAAAATCCTCATATGCTTCAGCAAGCTTCCACATACACGCCACAATCATGATTTTCATTCTTAACTACTTACGTACATCTTCTACTGTAAGAATGAGGAACACATGATCATAATCATAAAAATAAAACTAAATGTTGTTATCGTCCTTCAAAACGATGTTGACGCAGGTGCAACTTGGTCGCAGTGTGCTGCATCATTAACGAGGTAGGGCACGTTCTCGCCAAAGACTCACTTGTGTATCAGCGTGTGCAGGAAAACCTGCGAGAGTCGTTACCTGCTTATCGTGCGTTCGTTTCTGACGCTAGACACGTTCGCGATCCGCCAGACGAGGGTGAAAAGCATGCTCTTGATACCCTGTATCGCCACTTAATCGCACAGAAGGGCGCATCCGGAGGCGCGATCGCGGCGGTCTCTATGTTGGAGCAAGTTGCTGGCGCTACGACAGGAGGCGGGGGTGACGCGAGTCCCGATAAGCAGGGAGGTGCGAATAAAAGCAACAACACGCTCACATCGGCCGACAGTTGGCCTCATGCGTCCAACAACGCCTACAAGTGCGTCGAATACATCAACAGGCTAGTCGAGAACATCAAGGTCGACTTTGCAACGAAGACCGACGATGACGATCAACTCCTCTTCCCAGAGGATCTGGAGACAGAGAAGAAAACCATGTTTGACCACACACTGCAAAACCTGCAGATGTTTAGGGTAGATTTCCAGGCACTATGCTCGCACATCCCGGTAATGAGCGGCTCAGGCGCATTATGAATTGATCATGATCATGTCGTATTTGTACCAAAGAACTATATCCGACTTTCGCTCCTGGTCCTGCATGACTACGATACGTCAGCGATCATCTTTGTTACATCCATTGTTGTAAAAAAACCGACACAGAATATGTTGCTCATGTAGCTTATCATAGATGATGAAGATGAGAGAGAGAGTCTCTCATTGAGAGAAGGACCAGCATCTCCTCGTCATCCCTAGCTCTAATGTATGCAGACGGTTCGCAGCGGCGGCCGATTCCCGGAATACCAAGAAATACCGTCTTCGTGCTGAAGCATCACTTAATACCATCACTACAGCCCTTTGAGGAGAACTCCTTCAACATATCAGAGGCTGAATTCAACGACTGGCAAATCAACGATCTCTTCGTCAACACTTTCATAGCGCAAGTCTCCATGCTGCATACGCACATAAAGCGATGCTACACGCCGGAGGTACATATACGCCAAAAATGCTGGTTTAGCACTACTTAATAATGTCGGATTTGAACCATCGACATCGTAGTAAATTGTCCCGTGAATATTATGGTTGCGGCAGCTAATAAAACCCATAAATATTCTTGCTTCCACCACATCCTCTACCTCTTCCTACTTCCGTTTGCACGGATTTTCACGATCTTCCCGACTGCAATTTGTATCTTCGCTCTTTCCGCTTCCAATCACTTCTCCATAGGTAGTACTTGCTATCCTCGAGCAGCTAATTGAACAGAGTTGTAACCGTCTCGCGACGAATATCGCGAAGAAACAGAACATCTCACTCTACGGCGGACTACAGTTCGACCAGGACGTGCGAAGCCTGATGAACTATTTTCTGTCGATTGCTTCTGCGCATGCGGCAGCTGCTGAAGGCGGAGAAGGCAATATTTATGATGGATCATGTTGTAGTACTCAATTGATTCTATTGACTCGCTTTGGCTTTGAGTTTTCGCGTGAAAATATAACTACTAACTCTGAACTTCACTTTCTCGCGAAGAAGTAAGTAACTACTGTTTCGGATGCAAATGCATGCGCAATTATTATGTATGAAATAGGAGCTCACGCTCAGGAGTTATTCAATCAAGAAAAAATACGAGTACTCGAGTTCGAGTACAAGCAACTGTTTCCTACCCCGTTCTTCATACTCTGGTGTTGGAGCCGTTACCGGTGAGGAAGAAATTCAAGCGGTTGTGCCAGATCGCGAGTCTGCTATCACTGGAGCACGCGAGAGAACTGCGCGATTTTTTTTCGCAGTCAAAGTGGGAACTTCGTAATCACGAAATTCGACTTTTCCTACTCCTCCGCTTTGGCGAGGCAGAAGTCGAACGCGATGCAGGCTATCTAAGGAGCGGCGGGCCAGCGTAAGCGCAAAGAAAGCGAGAAAATGTTGTAACTGACGAGTTGTACTTCTTGGTTGCAATTGTTGTGCTGCGACGAGTGCGATCTTCTGTTGAACAAGCGTGATTCAGCGAATTTTTGATATGGACGTAGGAACGCGGGTGTGTCGGCAACACCTCCGCTGAGTTGAAAATGGTTTCCTAGAAGATACCCACGATGAGGCCCACGCGCCGCATTAAACCAAACATGGTCTTGGCCACACCCTGGAATATTTCATGCCTGCTCCTACGATGCACTATTCGCGTTGAAATAAATTGAAGTAACCTTTCTTGACCCCATTCTGCTACAGCTCTCTCCCTAAATATTGTCTCTCATTCTTATTCTGCCATCAATCAGCAACAGGGTTCATACTATGAATGTGAACCCCCAAACAAAGTGAGAAACTGTCTGTTGTAGTGAGTCAGTGTAAGTATGTTGGCGGCGCGTGTCCGCGTTTATTCTGAAGGAGCTCGTTAACCGAGAGAACAGTGATAGACGGTCAGTAAAAATCCCAACCATAGTCTGTCACCAGAACCTTGACGACGCAGCAGCAACACAAAGAACTAAAAAGAAGGCAGCGTCAGTCTGAAAATCTCGAATACACGAAGAACTGAAGAGTGGTAATAGAAAGTGCGCACGCGTTGTCGTGCGTGAATCAATGGGAGCTCAGAATATCTCCTTCTAACGAGGAAAACAACAATGAAAAAAACTACTGAAAGTTGGCACTTCATGTTTCATTGGACTTGGACTGGCGGCACCAATCAATATCAAGTGAATTAGAATTTTGCTTTCATCGCTTTCGCTCCTCCGTCCTCCGGATGTCGTAGGCGTGCTAATACCGTAGTAGAAGTATTTTTGCAAGAAGATGACAATCACAATGGGTACCCGACGAGGACTTCTGGCATGAACCGAGAACGGTAGGCGCTACAAATGGTCACTCAGCCCCAAAAAAATGGGACTTGATACGGCTGTAGCGGCACCTCTCGAGCAGGAGTCAGCAAAGGCGAGCTCCGCATTGCGCTTGTGCCTCCTCAACAGCGAGAGCCCACCTAGTTTTGTGGATGAGGCATTGACGCTATGGGATCAACACTGGCCGCGACAAGCGCACCTGAGCGCGTCACGGCGCGAGTCCATACTAAGTTCAAAGCCGGGAGGCTCTCTGCCATGGCATTTCGGGCTTTTTGCGGACGAGAGTGAAGACTCGGCATTGCGAAATGGAGGGAGCCGGAGGCAAGAGGAAGGCACGACGCAACATATTGCCGGAGAAGGAAATAATGAGAACGCTTCGAGGTTCCAGGTGGATCCAGCTTCGCGGCCTGTTCATCGTGTAGTTGTTGTTGATCACCAGCATGCCACGCCTGCACCATCAGTTTTTACCAGCTGCAGATTGATTGGCCACGCGAAAGTGAGTCCGAGCATTGTTGCAGGCGAAGACGCGCCCTGCGGTACGCTCTATTCGCTGGTAGTCGCATCGAATCTGCGAGGAGGCGGCATAGGGAAAGCGTTCCTGGATGCAATCATTGAATACCTTCTGCAAAAGCAACCAAAGATGCCCTATTTGTACCTAGACTGCAAGCCGCATCTGCAACGTTTTTACGAAAGTGTGGGCTTTCGATTGTGTCCTCAAGGGAGCACTGGAACCGCTTTGAAGCAAGTGGGGAAGTTGATCAATCAGAAACAAGTATCGAAACTGGAAGCGATGTTGATGGCCAGGGCAGGTGCCGGTGGCGGGGAACAAGATGAGCCACCTCAACATCAAGTCTTCGAAATAGGGAAGAAACCGAATCAGCTCTATTTTCGTCGAAGACTCCTCAGCGAATGGCCTATTGTGGAAAGCTTTTTTTTCAATTCCAAAGGTCAGGACAATGAAGAGAAGCTGCACCACGATAGTAATAGTAATGAGTGCGTCGAGTCGTGGGTATTCTGCTTGAAAAATTTCCCTCACCAACGTCAGATCGGACCGAGCTGTGGTATGGTCGCGTTGAACATGGCAGCACATTACTTATTGAATTTGAACGAGTCGACACGGAGTTCATCCTGTACTTGTAGTGTCCAACGGTTTCTGGACACAGCCCGACATGAAAAGGTCTCAACAGACGGGGAGCTCTTCTCTGCCACCAGCCTCTGTTCAGTGGCCAACGAAGTTTTTGCAACGAATGAAGCAGGAAATGATAACGTTAATGGAACACTACGGAACAAACTCGAGGCGCGCGTCACAGAAGATTGGAATCGTACTCTTCAGAACTTCCTTGTTCCAAAGGGGAAACGAAATCGAAACGGCGTCGAGGGTGTCGAAGAGGAAGGTGAAAGTGAATGTGCTGAAACAGTTTTCCTCGTGCCCTACAACAAACATTCCGCTACGCACGAACCAATTATTGTGTCAGAAGAAGGAGCAGCGATTGCGAGCACTCAGGAGCATGCACACTGGGCAGTTATCGTTGGCGCTTACTGGAGTGAACTACAACTAGCTGATCAACAGGAACAGATGAAAACCGACGGAGAACACAAAATCGAAACCGAAGTTGCGCATCTCCTGCATGTGGTCCTTGCCCACGGACTATCGCGGAAGCTAATTTACTGCAGTTTTGATACGCTGGCGGCATCCAACGCGAACCTTCATCAATCCGATGACCTTCGGGGAAAGCTTGTTGTGATTTCAAAAATGGCGTGAGGGAGAGGGACTTCGGTTGTAGGTTGCAGCTAGGCTTATTTCCTTAGTGGTCTCTACATAACGTACATAACGGGCGCTTTTCTGCGAGGTACTAGCGGGTTGTTGATATGATCGAACATACATGTAGTCACAACGGGCTACGCCTACCTCGTTCCAGCTGTGTTTGCTCTCGTTGTAGAAGTACAACCAGAGAAGGGGGGCTCCTGATCCAAGATACAATAGCTCGATGTGCAGCTATTTCAAAAGCATCAAGTTAACTTTGAGAACACATGAAGATAAACATCTCCATCACTTGACGGACCTAGTGGTAAAGGTTCAACGAAAGAAAGAGGACAATGATTCGATATGACAACCACCTCACTGACTTTGTGACATATAGTTTTTGCGTGACACCCTTTAGCACGCCCGTACCCGTTGCCTTTTCTATTGTTTCGTGCATTTAATGCATCAAGAGGATGGCAAAGCTCAGGTCGTGAGCCAGGAATACGGCGAGTAGAAAAAGGTTGAGGAAGACGAAAAAAAGACGCAGCACCATAGCCATACTATATCTATGTATAGCGAGAACGTGCGAGGCAAATCGACAAGCCAGTCCAGCAGCACGGATAAGATGCCTAAAGCTAGGGCGTGAGTCATAATATGTACGTAGTGCCTTCTTGTCGACATTACTACATTTCAGAAGTGGCAGATACTACATATTGTTGTTGTCCCGAAGCCAACCATAGTCCTCTTGTACTACTATGTCAGCAGGAGTACTAATAGATTGAAATCGATCAAATTTTAAAACAATGAATAAGATTCAAAGGTGCTATTGCTGTAGGTGGAGGTCCTTCTCCTTTCACCGCTCCCCTCCTCGAGGACTTCTACGGGTGACTGTTCGGCGGCACCAGAAGGCGAAGATAGAGGAGGCTCAGTCTTGGTGGATTCTAATCTGCTAGAGGAGGAGGACCACGACTTCGCTTCAGTACCTTCAGCCGGCTGATTTCACACCCACTACCAACGACAGTGCGGAGTCCGCAAATGACGTAGTCGTACGAACTGGAATTACTAGCGAAATACTTGTTCATCAACTTCAACAAGCTCAAAAGCATCTTTTTACAGCCCTTATTTTCCATCAGAAGAAGATAGAACAAGAATATTGAACCGTTTGAAAATATAGCTCAGGAGTGAACCTACAACAACTCTGCAAGATGCCCTGCCTGCTCCCAATGGGACAAGGAGCATGCGAAACAGAGAAAAGATAACACGGCCAATGTCCAGGTAAGCAGATGGATTCTGGCCGTTCTGCTCTAGTATTTGCGGGCGACGTCGTGAATAGGAATACGCTGGAACAACTAGGAAAGGCAAAGGTCGCAGTGATGCAGCCAAAGTTTCCTACCCTCCCGAGAAGAAAGTGCATTCGAATACTCCAAGCGAGGTATCTTTGTATACTCCTTAGGTTTGGGATTCAGATTATTTAAGTTTAAGTTTAAGAATTTGGATTCATTCTTCAACGATCTCGACGACTTTTTTTTGCACCATTGATAGATTGATTTTGATGACCTCCTATTCTAAATCTTTATCTTAATCTTCTGCGAGCTCGGCTTTTCCTTTGGTGACGAGAGATGAGGGTGAGCGGAGTACTGCCTGTTCTCTCTCTCCTGAACACCTTCACAACAAGCTCATGAGCATAAGGTCTTGGCATACAACTCTGATCATGCATCTTAATCACGTGTCACGATGTTGACGTCTATCTTCGTGTTTCGTCTTCATCTCAGGAAGTGGGATGCTGCGAAGGCATCCGCCATGGCATCTGCGCATGTTGTTTGGTGCGAGCGCGTCGGGGAACCCGTATTGCGAAAACACATAAATGAGAAGGGCGCCAACGCCATGGAGTCTGCCTATCTTAAGTACTACTCGATTTGGCGAACCGGTTATGTTAATGCGATTATCGCATTGGCAGCCCAACCTGCTGACAAAAGAAGAGTACGAAAAATACGTGTCGTATTTCTTGCGCCGCAATCTCAGAACGGTAGACGAGCAATTAAGCCAAGGAGAGGGGAACCGTTTTTGCCGAGGATATCGTGGTGTTAGTGTTTCTTCTTGTACCGAGAATAGTCGACTTTTTGCTTTTCTTATTTTTTAGATAGTCGTGGCTGTGGGTAATTCAGGCGATTCTCGTGTGTGAAGGGTCTACTAGTATAACATCAAAAACAAAGACCAGAGTACTTACGTCATCTTCTTACACTACAACAAGGTAGTGGTCTTGCTTGATATGAAGGGGTGGAGTCTTTGGCATGTGAACTACTTACTTACACGAGCTTTATCCGGACGCTTCTCAATGTCGTGCAAGATCAATATCCACAAACACTACCGCGCACTTCCTGTGTCAACACACCAAGAATATTTCAAGCAGCGTGAACGGTACATGACATACAGTTTCATCTGGAGGAGATACGAATTGTATTCTGCATGTTATTATTTTTGAGTTCAAAAAATTGCAGTGGAACTGTAGAGTGCATGCAAAAGAAAGTGAAGTTTACTTCATCTGAAGTCATTCATCTCCTCTACGACTTTGCCTCAGATAATCTCGACTCACCTTTCTGGTGGATAGCAAAACGCGGGCTAAAGTATCCTTCTCGAAGTTAGATGTGAAGGAAGTGGAAAACTACGAAACGGCTGCACGCGAAACGCTTGGTAAGATTGCTGCAACTCAACAAAGTGCCAAAGTTAAGCCTCGAAGTACTAGATGAAGAAATGCGATCGTTCGGATGAGAACAGCGTTTCGGTTTCTTTGGGACGAAGTTTTGGGCACTGTATGATGAAAGTGAAACGTCTTTATATCTGTACCTCGTCCACTATTTTTACTCTCATTCTCTTTGTTGTTGTCTGAAACTGAATGTTCTTGTACAAGAACTTGAACTTCTAAGTATATCTAAATGTAATTTTTGCGTTGACACAGGAGGCAGCGTTTTCGGTGTCCCCTACGGGAGCATTCAACAAGGGCAAAGCATCATGAACGAGGTGACGAACTTGAGAGGAGAGCTCGGCGTGGAGCGGGCCATGTTTTATGAACGAACAACTTTTTCTCCATTTTGAACTAACTTGATGAGGACTAGCTAGTATTTCGGTTCCTTTATTTTGTTCCTCTCCCTCACAAGTATAGTTAGAAGTAGGAGGTAGGTCTGCGTGGGGGAGAATATGATCCATGGGTGGCCTAGAAGATCAAGATTGTCTGCTTGACAGATGGAGAAAAGTACGAAATTCGTTTTCATACGTTTGTTGACATTCCGCAAGATTTATTACCAGCGTACCTAGGTGGGCTGCGTGAGCGTATTCCGGTCCCGAATATTCCAGGTGAGCGAAATGCATTGGAGGATAGCTAAGCCAAAATAAATAAACCCATGCACTCTGAAGAAGAAGTAGATGAACAACAAGAGCTACTACGTCGTACTACTTTGCGCCACTCCCACTCTCTCATGATGTAGTTGCGTTCATGTAATTTTTACGATTGTCGATTATATCATTAATATATTACGTATATAAATATGAATGAGTACCTAAAGTAAGCCTAAAGCATCGACGGAAAAATGCTTTATATACTGGTCATTTGCATGTTGATAAACTCCTTCAATGACTATCTATTAATTCTATGACAACTTCAACTATGTCCTTGACGATATGTAAGTAGTAGTAGTTGATGTTGACATGGCAATACATAGGTTTTCGTTCTGATCCAATACTTGAGACCGGACATCACACGAGGCTAGAATACCAGAATGCTGTCAAGAGCTCGTTCGTTCGCGATCGCGCAAAGAGCGCGACTGGTGGACAGCTCTGCATGCAAAAGGCTACAGTTGTTTGTGTTTTACTTTTGGCTAGCAGGTTTATCAATCAATTTGGCCTGTAGTACCGAAGTAGCAGCAGCGAGCCTTTGGTCTTCATCTGCTGCGTCCATTTCGTCGAGGGAAGGGCAAAGCTTTTCGACTGCGGGAGATTGCTATATTAGGAGTCTTCAGAGGCCAAGTTGGTTTTGCAAGCAGTGTCTTACAATCCGCATAATTTGTGTGGCACGAGCGTCGGCGAGAGGGCTGCTAGCAGTACAGGAGTAGGAGATGCAGTGATCATTTCGCCGCCATCTTCCGGCGAGGTGCCCTCAGACCACGGAAACCATGCTGAGGGGAAGCTTACTTACATTAATACCGTTGGAGAATGCTGCCCACCAAAGTCAAACCTTCAGACAAGACGATACTTCTGTGGTCGGCCACATAGGATTGGCTCCTAGCATACGGCAGCAGCATGGCGCAACATCAGTAGTGGCGAAAACAGCAGAAGCTTCAACAGGACGTGGACGTGCTTCTGGAAGTAGTCAGCTTGCTACAGAGGAAATTCACCAGAAAACATGGACTTGGACGAGGTCGTCGCATGGTAACAACCAAACAGCGTGTCAATGGCGAAGACGGGAGAGATCACGACAGATCTGCAACTCCTGTTCAAGAAGAACATAGTACACTACAACGAGATAAAATTATAAAGCCTAAGTATGAGCAAGGAAGATATTATTGTGTTGAAGCACATTCTTGTGCTTCTTCCTGGACGCAAACAGCACGTGGGACATCTTCTTGTTGTAGCTCGTGACCCAACGTATGAAACGAGTATGAAAACCAAAACAATGTTTCGACGAGGAGGTGATGAAGTGCCGCCGAAAAATGAAGTAGCACAAGCGCGAGTTTCAGCAAGGCCCACAGATGAACACTTGGTTGTATCACCAGGCAGCATGAAGACGTGGAATTTCTGCAGAAGAGTCAATCCACGTCTAAACCCCCTGCGCGTCGCCTACGGACACAAGAGCAACACTCTCATGGGGATGGGGCTGATCATGAGCATATTATTGAAGATGAAGATCACGAAATGCAGAACGACGTCGTGGCAAAAAATGTAAATGTTGTAACGGACCCCCACTTAGAACACGACGACACGCGGCACATCGAGGACACCTACGAACCATGGAAACTTGTAGTAAATATATTTATATATAAAAGTAACCTTCGAGTCGACGACTTCGAGGAGGTAATGAGCAGGGTCGTACTCATGCCGATACGCAACAGTACACTTCTAACTTCTTGCTCTCGAGGACGTCTGCGGCCACACGAAATGCAGTGCCAGAGGTTGTCAAAAAAATCACTCCACATCACAAAAAAAATCACTCCACACCACTCCACATCAGGATGTCTCACGTAGACAACGACGTGAGCAACAAGAACGTCATGCGCAAGTCACCGAAACTCCTACTATTTTCACTGAAGGAGCTGGAGTTGAAGCTCACAAGACGGACAATCTCGAAAACGCTAAGCACGGATATGATTCTACAACTGCAGGCTCAAGCTTAGCAGACACCGTCGCGGGCGATCTTCTCGCAGCCGTCGTGGTAATTCCATTGTTGGCTTCGTACGCCGGGTATGCTGGCGCGCTTGCCGTAAAAGTATGCGTTTTTTGCTGCACTGCTGTTCTGGACGGCAAGTGTATGATGCGTCGCGCGTTAAAGCAGTCTGCTTCTTACGGCTATCTTTGCTCCATATTTTCATGAAAGTATGCACTTGGTCGTGGATATTGATTGTACTTAAGTACACGCTAGTTTCGAAGAGTATCTCTTAGGTCCGTTGTTCTCGTCATCTTCATCTAGGTCTACTTATGTATTCTTAGAACTCTACTAGATCTAGATTCCTGTGCACGCAGATCACTTGTATCCACTAATTTTAGTCTGAGTGTGTTGCTTGCATGGGTCAGTTTTGCAATTTCATGGTGCCCTGCTGCATCTGTCGTTGTGGGAGCAATGATGGCGCTTGTTGCAAATGCGAGGACACGCGAAGAGAGTGCTGCACCGAATGCGAAGAGTTTTTTGGCCTTGACCTGCGCGGTTTAGGTGGCAAGATTGGTTCATTCTTCGACTCTCGCGTACGACGATGCTACCGCTGGTATGCGATCATTACCCTTGTCGTACCCTCGCTGAAATAGAGAGCACTTCCGCTCCCGCTCCTGTGCGATGAGGAACCTGGCTGCCTCTGCTCCCTTGTATGAAGACAGTCCTCGAGTATCATATTCATGTAAAGCTTTCTTTTGAAATAGTCCGGATCATGAGACAATGACAAAAGTTGGAACTATCATAGATTAGAAAAGACCTTTCTGTTTCTTGGGATTGTACACGATTAGATTGATGAAACAAAGTGAGGCAGGTCGAGATGATTGGGACAGCAAGTCTTGAAATTAATTTACTGATTGTGCTCAAATTCAAAAGGTTCTTCTAGATGTGGAATACGAGACGGCCATTCTCTTTTCGTTCTATTTTTCATGGCATCTGAAGCGCTGCAGATGGTTCAAACGCCACCAAATGAACGTGGGAAGCCGCGGCCTCGGATATTGCCCAGCGCCAGAGACGCTGCCATCACCACTCGACGGAGTCGAGATCACGCAGGACGAAGCTAGATGGGAATTTCTGCGTCTTATCACCGGGGAAATCTACGACGAAACAGACGACGACTCGGTATGACCGGTGACCATAATATCGGTAATACATGCAACCCTGCGTCGTGGGATAATCCTGATCAAACAGTCACAATTTTTATGCCAAGCTCGACCGATCCAGAAGATCCTGATCCATGAATATGGGTTATCACATCCGATTTACAAATTACAGCACAAGTTTTTCGAGTCAACATCATGGCCGTAAAAGTTCAGCATCAGCACAGATACCGAATATGAATAAGAATTTCTGCTCTACGCCACGACCAGCACACGACGTAACTATTCATTAAGCCAACTGATGTGAACAGACTCTCCCAACAGATGCAGTGAAAGGTATTGAACTCCCACAAAACCCTGAAGGAGTTGGAATGTCACCCACAAATTAACTTTTTGCCCCCCCCCCTCTGTGAATGCAACCTCCACATGAGGGATCATCATTTCTTTGCGATTTTTATAATGCTCTAGCCCTTCGCGTTCGCTTTCGCATTAGATTGTTCAGTCTCCACCGCACTTTGTTCTGTTCGCAAGCCCTGGCCTGAGCCTAAAAAACCAGATCCAGAACCGGTACCTATGTTTATGAACAACGAAGATTACATACCTCTAGCGACATAGCACATGCTTGTACGTGTAAAAAGGCATCACCCACTGCTTGTAAGCACCTCTTTCCTACTTACTTCTTTTCTGCCGTGAAGATTATTATGAAAAAGTGGATATCGGAATCGGATGTTGAGAGCTACAATCCAGAGAAGTAATTATGACTCAGCTGCTAATGCTGAATTACTCTAATAGAAGAAATCAATCATCTTGGACACGAACAACAACTACGATGGTGGTCTAGTACCACTTCTTCTACGGGATGTCAAGAATATTCATATCGAGATTCAAGAATGTTCATATCGAGATTCTTAAATTCAAATTTCTAGTTTACTTTCAATGTCTACTAACTCTACCTTACGACTATCCCGTCGTTGAGTCTCGACCGATTCTCCGTTGCCGATCCATTGTTTCCATAATGAATTATAATATATGATATTAGATTACGTCGAAGTCGATAGAGGGTTGAGATAACATGTGAACTCCTGTCTTGTCATTAACAGAATCAGTTTTTACGAGAATGTAACTTTGAGTCGATAGATACGCGGGAATTGTAGGTAGAGAGATCCCAACAAGTCAGAGGTCGTTATTAATTCACTATCACAAGCAGCTCCTGACTTTCTTACTTGTGAGCAGCTACTAGCAGTAGCAGCAATTATGTAGTTTGGTAAAATATAAGCTGAAGTTCACGATAAGTACTTAGGCTTAGCGAATGATACGTAGCTCAGTTTTTCAAATGACATAGACAATTTTGCTTCATGTTCGTTCTGCGATTATGAAGTTCTTGTTCATGTTCTTCTTCCGAAAAGTTCTTCGTTCTTTGCTTACGCTTTTTCATCATCCCCGCGCCATACACGAGCTCAGACTTCTGTTCTACTAGTAGTTCTTTCACCTCGGCTGCCCCCGTCCTCCTCGCTGCAGCGCTGGAGACGTACGTCGGTCCAGACGCTGGTCGCGCCGGAAACCAACTTGCTCCGATAGAGAGCGGCCGGTATTGATTGAATCTCCTCGTTGAAAGGGTCTCGCTAGTAACGAGGATTCGTCAAGCGCGCTATGAAAACTAGATTGTGCTGTATGAAAGGATGCGTTTTGCACGATTTCCTCCTCGTACTGTCCTAGATCTTCAGGAAAGCTAAAAGTGATGCTGTTATTCACTGCTTTGGTATTTGTGCTTATAGCTGGAAGGTCTTCTTCTGGTATCGGTGCTTGAAGATGATCTTTCGATAATGAGCTGTTGCGACTGCTTGCGTCGTTCTTGCTCACTTGTCTTGCCTCTGCTCCTCCATCAGATGAAAAAGAGCGTGCGTCACTCGACTTCTTATTAGCTTTTCTACCGAAGAAGTTCAACCTACTTGCGACGAGAGAAGTAGAATTCGTCGAAGTTGAGGTAACATTCGGTCCAGCTGATACTTCATCGGATGCCATCCTTTGATTTGGATTAACGTTTTCGGAGTCTCCCATGATGTTTTCTCTAGAAGCGACAACTACGGGTCGCACCTTTTCGCTTCGTGGTGGTATAGGCACAGAGGCAGGGGCAGGTTGAGGAGCTTTATTTTCTTCGACGCCGTCGGCGTCGCCGTGTGCCTGCGCATGATCCACGTCAGATTCCTCAATGATGCCTATGCTGTGCCCGCCAATAGATCCTGCGACCGCGCTCGCCGCCTCGAGAAGAGGCGAGAAAGGCCCGATCAACTTCTCGCGCACCCTTTGAGCCAAGCGGCGCGCTGTGTCGTCTGTGCCAATACCGAGCCGCATAGCATCACTCGAAGAAGATCCTCCGAAATTTGGCTCCGAGGAGTGCTCCTGTTGCCCGATCAGGCTGTCCCTGTGAGCGGATTAGAGTGAGGAGAATGGAAATGCATTGCAAGTTACTGGGGATGAATTTAGAGCATCGATTTTTACAGGTCGAAAAATACGGAGTGACCGCGTGCAAAATATTGATATTCATACTTGACGTTGACCCCCAATATATAAACTAAGGTGAAGATAAAGGCACACGTGGTCCGGGTTGTTTTATTACGTTGTAGCTGTTACCTTGAAATTTCCGTCAACGCGCGCCCATGATGTGGCAGAGGCGCATTTGGTGGCTCATACACGCTGCGCTTAGGTGGTGATGGCGACTCAATCGCATCGACAAAAACCGCGGAGTCTTCCTGCTGCGACAGATTGTGCGTTACCATCGAACTCTTGGCGTCTGCGAACCCTAGCAAGGCTTCGTTGTTTGTTCTTTCTCGCGCTACCCTTTCTTGTTCCACGACTAAACGCGCATCAAGATTCACTACGTGCGCGTTGCCGCAGCTGCTGCGACTGCCTGCTGCTTCGCTTCCCGCATCTTCTACTGCTGCTTCTATTTCCAGGTAGTGGGTGGAAATTCTTTTCCGAGATTCTGGAATACCTCCATCCGGGGCGACAGGAACCGGGAGACCAACAGAATCCCTTTGAAAGAGCAACAGCGGCTGACCATGTAAACCCACAGGAGTAAATTCACTTGATGTCCGAGGCCGTCTTGGAAGAGGCGCAGAATGTTCATTTTCTTCTCCTCCCTGACCAGTACTTCTTATCAGGTCTCCTTGCGCTTGCCCGCCGTGATCTTCTATTCGTAGCTGAATTCCATTGGAGACAGCAGAGAGACTTCCACTGCCTCGACCTTCTCGTCCCTGCAGTCCAAAGCCAGGTGGCTGTGATGCCTCGCCCTCGTCCTCGCGTAACAAACCACCGCTACTACCCATACGCGGAACGCTCTGAGCTCCACTTACAAACGATGACTTACTTCTTTTAGCTGCAGCGCCGAACCCACTAAAACAAGTCACCTCCTTTGAGTAACAACTTGAGCTCGCGGCGCTCGACGATGCGCGTATCTGACTCACTCGCTTGTTGTTCTCTACATCACCGACTTTGGTTTCATGACCTGTTATACCGTCGGAGCCAGTTGTAAGATTTGCTGACGTTGATCCATTGCCTTGTTCTTCGGTTCTAGCCTGGTCTTCCAGCTGCAGCAAGCTTCTGGCTGGTTCTATTGCCAACGAGGAAGAGGACGAAGAGGCCCCTGTTTGCTGTGCCTCGTGCTCAGGGACGATGGCAATGACTTCGTTCTTGGTGCGTCCTAAGTTGACGCTTCTTCGCTGTCGCAGTCGCTGCAGATCATAGGCGCCGCCCTGCTCAATGACTATGCGCTCGGTGCGTCGCGAGGCCTCCTCTACCCTTTCCATTCGGTCTAGAAGCTTCTGCCAATCGAAGCCTGGGGGTGGGAGGCTGTAGTTTGACTGCATTGAGCCTTCTCGGAGCTGGTGCGCCGCAACCACCCCGCGTAGGCTGCAGCCGCTGCTCCCGCGACTTATTCGCGCGCGCAAGTCAAAAGCCTGTTGTTGACTGGCGGCTTTCTTGTTCCTTCGGTATGCCCGTACCCACCGGCGGAAGCCCCTCAAGACACGTATAGTGTGCACGAATCGGGCGACTGCTCCTGCAGCTCGTTGAACATCCTTTGCGCGTTTGCGTGCCATCCATGCCCTCACGGTTCGTTTCAAAAGTACGAGGCCGTAAACAATTGTCACCAACCTTTTGCGTTTGCTAACCATTGTGAGGTGACGTTCGACTTGATTTTCAAGAACGCGCTCAGACACGCGTCTCATCCACCGCCGGAGGCGGATTGACACAAACACCGATCTCACAAAATGTCTCAACAGGCTCTCCCTTGCTTTCTGCTTTTTCTGCGTCTCCACGGCGGCTCGCTCTTCTTGTCGCTCCACTTCTTCTTGCTGCTCCTTTGACTCCCTTGCTTTCCGCTCTATGAGAGCTTTTTCTTCCAGCCAGCGCCTGACAAAGCGGCGGCCCTCAACGACTAACTTCGTCCCACAGTAAAACGTGTCCAAAAGCTTTTGGACCTTTTCTTGCTTGGCCGCTCTCTCGGCGTCCTGTTGTTGGGCGGTTTGCTCCGCTGCCCGCCGTCGGTGTTCCTCCGCTTTCTGCTGTAGCAAATGCTGTCGTGCTTCCACAAGCACTTGCCTTCTGATTCGATACTCCGCGAGACTGTGCATGAAGGCTGAGATTTTGATCGCTGCATCTCTTCGGCGGCTGCTTTCGTCGCGGTAGCGAATACAATATCGACGCAGCCGCACAAAGAGCATGCTAGCGCGCGCCCAAACGTGCAGCAACTCCTTGACTCGATTTTGGCGCCCGACTTCCATTGCCTGGAGCTCACGAGCTTGCTCTTCGCGCATGCGACGCTGTTCGCGTTCAAAGCGACTTGCTGCGATGTGTCGCTTTAGCGCTCCGCAAAGCAAAACAGTGCGGAATAGCGTTTGCTCGAATAACGCGCGCTGTCTAATCTTGCGCTCGCGTGCTTCCGCCTGAGCAAGAGCCGTACGCTCGAGTTCCGCCTGTCGCTCACGCTCGGCTTCTTCTCGCAATCGCTCTTCCTCGAGTCGAACACACTCTTCCTCTGCCAGCCTATCAGCCTCGATCCGGCGCGCTTCTATGCTGTTTCGCGCACGCCCTAAGAGTCTCCGCATCTGCACGGTCATATGGACGTAGCCACGCAGTGTGCGAAGAAGATGGCGCTGACGCGCTTCATACGCATCGCGGATGTCGTCCCGACGGCGCCGGACGTAGGACCGCATAACAATCCCAAGATTCGCGTAGCGGCAAAACATCGTCAAGTTGCTGTCCCGTATACTGGCGCGTCTCACGCGGCGCCATCGCTGCACTCGTCGAAAAAGAATTCCGAACTGGGTGGTGAGAAGCAGCAAATCCCAGTTCAGTTTTGCCTGGTAGCGACGAGCCTTCCGTTCGCGACGGTGCTTCACCGCTGCGCGAAGACGGCGCTTCAAAATGACGAGACGCGCAATCCAGCGCCAGAAGTATTTGCGCCGCGCAAACCGCCGCATCGCGACGCACATCCTCACACCACGGAGGCACAGTTGCCACCGGTCCGCACACAAGAGCCGTCGCTGTGCTCGACGGTGCCATCTCACTAGGCGCACAAGGGTCCGCGAAACAGTGACCAGTCCTCGCTCTAGCCGGTCCTTTCGGCAACGCTTGCTGAATGCGTTGACGTACAGCACGAACCGCACTGCCAGGAAGCAGCGACGAAGCTTCTTCCGTAGAAAATGCCACTGCAAGTCATGTGCGACCGTCTTCACCATGTCAGCGTTCTCAGCCAGCAATCGCTGCAGAATGGCCAGCTTGCCGCTTTTCAGGAAGAGCTTCGAAATGCCCATCACGTAGTCGTGTTTTGGTACTCGGAGAGCAAGCATGAGCAAGTCGATGAAAGTCCGCGCGTCGTATTGCTCGCCCAGCTGAGACGATGGCAGGAACTTCTTGAATTTTTCCGCAAGAAATTTGTAGTCGCATCGATGCGGGTAGCCGTGATGCATGATGTTGACCAGCTGGAAAGTCCCACTCTCGCGCATCTGGGTCAACACAGTTTGAGCGTCAAACGAAAACGGCTCTTGCTCGGCATTGGGGCAAAAGCAACGAATGTAGTGCAAATTTGCAGACTGCAGGTTGGTCAACAGCGCATTCAAGTCGTTCAAGTACTTCTTGCTTACTGAGTCAAACGTTGACAGATTCGCATTGTTTTTGTTTGCACGAGCCGACCCCACCGGAGCATCCTTTGACGACGTGGACGTCGGTGGAGGCCGGCTGCTGCTCTTCGCAACAGCGTCTTCATCGCCGTCCTTGGGAGCTTCTGGTTCTGGCGGAGGCACGAACGTTGCCACCAGGCTGTTTGTTGACTGCGCGACTAGAGCTTCCAACTCCAGATCTAAGCGGGAATTGTTCTTTTCGAGCCATTCGCTGGTATGGTAGGTGATGTCGCCTGCGAAGTGCGAGATGACAAAGCCTTCCGTTTTGAGAATCGAATCAACTCCCGCGACGTTGCGTCCGCGCTTGGGTTCTTTGACCACGCCGACTGCGGACGCTTTTCGATCGGTACAGAAATGCGTGTGCACAGACTGGGTAAACGTTGCTGCCGTAACCTCCTGTTGCGACATGCGCGCCACGCGGAAGCAGCAGTCATCGAGCATCTTGAAGCACGAACCAATTGCGCTGACGCACTCGGTACAATCCGGACAGCTGACGGGCTTCCACTGGAGACCCTCGCGTCGGTAGAGCTCTTGCTCGCCCAAGAGCACATTGTCGACAAAGAATTGCTGCAGATGCTCGTTCGCGAGATTGATGCACAACTGCTCGAACGAATTTCGCTCAAGCTGCTCAAAGCCATAAATGTCGAGAATGCCAATCGTCTTCCCCATGATGCCTGCTGGCGCGGCGCCTGAAAGCCGGACTCCCAGCTGAAAACCGTTCGTCTGGGTATCTCCGTTTTGCTGTTGCGATAGCGGAGGCGAATGAGGTGCCAGAGACGGCGATGTGGTTGCTCCAGCTTGAAGAGTCGTGGTACTTGTCGCTGCTGAAGAGACTTGTGCGATCTGCAGAGCCTGACTTTGAAGCTCTGCAGAGTACCTTTTTGAGCGGCGGCGACTCATGGCGTTGAGCTCTGGTGAGCCAGGAACCGAGGACGGAACCGACCCTGCACCACTGTTGTTCTTTGACATTAGTGCGGCGTTTACTCGAGCAACGACGAAGTCAAACAGCTTTCGGTACAGAAACTTGCTCAGACTGTGTAGAAATGCCACCGCTTGGGCCTTCGTTCGGGGAACTTGATACCGTTCTCTGCCCCCGACAACGACCCACTTCGTTGTGAGGATCTCCCGCAACTTTTCGACTTCGAAACCCAGAATGCGAGCAGCGTGCTCAACGTGCTGTTGCTTTTCAAGGGTAACCGAATCAGCCGCGCAATTTCGCTCCACAATGACAACGTCTAGCTCTGCAAGATGGATCAGGCCGCAGAGAATGTCGAAAATTGATTCGCATATAGACTCAGACAGTACGGTCTTCAACTCCCTTTCAAGAATGGCGAAGTTTGCAGCATCGTCCCGCCGAAAAACGCAGTGCTCTGACCCAAAGCCGATGTCCTCTTGCTGCGCGAGCCGGTAAGAAACATTGGGCTCGCGGAAGCTTGTGGTATGCTCACCATCGGAAGCAAAATTATCTTCGGAGGATGGTGGCGCGCCGGTCCTTGGATGCAAGCCGTTTCTCGCTAGATATTGTTCGTCTGCGGCTGCTAACAGTTCATAGAAGGCATGGTAGCTGCGTTCGCCGCTGGCACAGCTCGTGACACGACTGGACTCTAAGAGGAAAGTTTGGATTTCCGCGCTTTGCAAATGGCCGACCACATTGAAGCGCAGTGCGTTGTACTTTCCGAAGCGACTAGAATTGCAGTTGCGCACAGTAGCTGCATTCCCAAAGCTTTCTAGTAACGGGTTCAGACTCAGCATTTTCTCTGCGACCTCGAGAGCCGCGAGTTCGTTAGAGCGAGACCGGTATGCGAGGTAGCTCATGGCGATTTTCGCAGTTTCGGTTTTGCCGGCTCCGGAAACGCCAGAGATGATCAAAACCTGGTTTTGGCCATCGTGGAGCAATTGTCGATACGCGAGATCTGCCACGCCAAACGGATGTGGTGGCGCTAACCGGTTTCCAAGTTGGTAGAGCTGCTTCTTCTCAAGCGAGTAGAGAGCGTCGATGTCGGGACTGGTGCCCAGCGGGTTCACCGCCAGCAGCACTTTGGCTGCGCTAGTGTATATCGCTTTGTGTTCATATCGGACTCGCAAGTTCTCTAGAATGCTTCGCTCATCGAGATGCATCAAAGCCGTACAATCGTCAACAGAAGTCGACCAGGACTGCTGTTCTGGCCCTGGCGCTGCTTCAGAACCCACAATATCTGATGCTCTATTTGCCTGTTGTTCTTCCTGAATTCCTGCTACAACGCCTACCTGTAGTTGAGTTTTTTCTTGGTGTGAGACAACGCTCTTTATTGTTGACTTCCCACCTTCTTGCATCTTTCTTGACGCCTGTGACGTGTTGCCAGAATATGCTCCAGTCCCACTATCGAACAAAGACGCTCCGGCAGCTGCAAGAGCTGTCGAGCTGCTTTTTACCTTGCCCGCTGCCTCAAATTCCTCGATATCGGCTTTTGGACTGCTCCTTCTCGCAAAGCTTTGGCGAGTCGTCACAGCAAAAGGCGAAACACCTTCATCATCATTTGATGAGTTATTTTTTTGAGCTTGTCCCAATCGGGTCACTGGAGGCGAAGCTCTTACTTGTTTCGTAGACGGAGAGGCCGCCGCAGGTACAGCCTCTGACGCTGATGGAGAGGACTTTGACACATTCGCAACGTTGCTATGCTTTGCTCCAGCAGCCACTCGCGGGGTAAAAAGCGGAGCGCTTGATGAACTGGAAATCGACGATGCTGATGCACCCGTTAAAGATGTTACCGTTCCTAGGTCGTGAGGCAAAGCCGAAGGTGTTGCGACCACTTGTCCTGTCACTTCGTCTTTCTTCAATGTCCAGCACACGGGAGCGGTTTTTTTGTCTTCATCAGACAGTGGCACTCCAAAATTGATATTGGCTTTTTGTGCTGAAGCTGATGAGGATGAGCTAGTCGTACTTGAGCCGCTCTGCAAGCCCTTCTTGCTATTTCCCTTATTTCCCTCTACTTGAAGATGCGACTTGCCTCCGGCAGTCACAGCGAGTTTCATTGCAGGGACTGGCTTTTTGTCGAAAGATACCGTGCTTGGCTTACCGTCCGGCCGCATACCAAATAGAGGTGACTCCTCTTGACCCATCTTGCTACCTGCGTCAGACACCGCAGCGCCACTCCCACTTTTTCTCGGAAGCGCGTTGCCGTCACGCGGAGTTACGAGGGGCGAGACATCATCGTTGGGAATATTGCTTTCTCTTATGGGAGCTAGTTCTGGTTGCGACTTCGGGGCCGCAGGCGTAGGCTCGTGGCCCTTTCTCGGAGACACGTTCTCCTTTTCCTCTGCCTTGTGATGCTTGTTTACGTGCGTATCAAGAGCGAAGTCCTGCATTGGTGATCGCTCTCGCTTCGTTCCATTACTGCGTCTATTAGCAGGAGAAGCTCCTGCTCCGGCTGGCGCAGCATGCTCTTCACCAGCAGCTTGTGCTTGTGCATCATGAGCTACTACTTGTCTCAATACGTCGGACTTTTCATTGTCAGTTCCATGTTCGACTTCTGTCTCGTTAAAGAGGATGGGCACCGTCCGCTGTACACGTGCGCTATTTTGGTTCGTGTCTTTGCATTCGCTTGGTGTTGGTTGTTGCTCGTGGTCAAGCATGAGTGGCACTCTTCGTAGTCTAGAAATTGTAGGTAGACTATCATCAATGTCACCGCCAATCACTTTTTTGCTGTCCTCCACAATTTCCTCCTCGGCATCTTCATCTTCGTCGATAATCCCCTCGATTTCCTGCCTGGGATCTTTTGGAGCGTCAACCCCTACCGCGGTGGTAGCTGCGTCTTCTTGCGGGATTTCTGAGAGCGGAGCATCAGCGAATGGCTTCTCTCCTGTGATCGATTCGTTTGGTGGTGCAATAGGCACGTCTGCTGGCGGGAACTCGCTCGAATCGGCGAGATTTTCGTCGTCACCCTCCTCGTCTGAATCGGCACACTCAACAGCCTCCGGAGAGAACCAAGACGAAAGAGGACTGCCAGGAAGGTTCAGCAACGGACTGTAACCTGAGAAAGGAGAAGTAGACAGGATCAGAAAGATAGAACATAATACCGATATTCGATTGAAGATGACGCGACAGAAATGTAATACGAAATTCACATGAGCAGGAACAGTCAAAACACCAAAAGCAATAGCAAAAGTGCCGTGGAACTAAAACGAATCCATACTAAGCGAGAAAGTCTGAAGGAGAATAAGATGAAGTGCTCAAAAACATTCATAACAAAATGACATTGATGTGAAATGAACGCAAGAAGCAAGCGTGGTACCTCCTGGTTGACCGACGCTCATTCCTTCGGCAAATTCCTCGTCCTCTGGAATCGGCGGCATTGCGCCTCGTACATCCGTGTACGTGAAAGCGTAGTCCCCAGAGGTATTCACCAGTTTATTTTCTTCCTCATCCTCATCGACCGAGGAAGAAGCACTATCATCCGATTCGTCTTCTATAGTGTTTTGGTCGAGTTTTCCGGCTCTCCTGCCTTTTCCTCGACTGCCTCGATATCTCCTTGGTGGGGCAGAGTCGTCATTATCGTCCTCGTCAAGACGATTGTTGGCGTTGTGCTCCATTTCTTCTTGTTCGCTGTGCTCCCCATCGCCTTCAGGATCGTTGTCGATTTCTTCATCTCCATTCTCTCTTCGCCTTGAGCGCTTCCTATTTCTCCTCCTGCGTCTCCGCTCCTTTCGATCGTCTCTATCAATGTCGTCATCCTGATCTTCTTCTTCTGCACCAAGCCTGCGATGTCGCCGCCTATTGCCATCTTCATCAAAGTCACAGTCACTGTCAACACGGCGCTCTTCATCATCGCCGCGTCTTGCTTCGTACCAATTCTCATCTTCTTCCATGTCGTCGTCCCGTGACCCATCTCTCCACGGACGCTTTCTCCGTCTACTACGAGAGTCTCTTGCACTTGCGTGCATGCTTTCTCCGTCGACGTCATCTCCCTCGTCGCTATCGTGATCCTCACGCGCTCGAGTTGAGGCAGAGGCACTGCCCATGACTTCATCGCCTTCTTCGTCTCGCTGATTTTCACTTGCCCTGCCTTGTTCGCTGTTGTCTCTCTCTGCTCCTCCTGCCTCATGAAAATCGTCCGAGAGCGGTGACTTGTAATCAAGGGTACTGGCGAGGTCCTCGAACAATACACGTTGTGGGCCCTCTGGATCCTCTGCTTCGGATGTCGAAGACCTTTTCGGTCCAAAAACCCGTGTATCCTCCGGTTTCGGACCAGGTGGTGCCGACGAAGAGCTGCTGATACTAGCCTCAAGGCCATTTTCATGCTCAGAATAGGCGGGCGCCACCTGATCAAAAGCGCCCCCATCGTTGGCCTCCTCTGGAAGTGCAGGCGGAAGTGCAAATTCTAGATCTTCGTCATCGCTGTCTTCGATCTCGATCCTTCGAGATTTCATTGGTGGCGATATACTGTTTTCTGAAACGTGCACAGCATCCTGCTCGCCTACAACGGCATTGACTTGTACTTTCTCGAAGTGGCACTCGAGTGGGGCATTGTCTGCTTCTCCAAGCGCTTCTGTTGAGTTTTCTTCTTGGTTGTCTCGTACGTCATGTACTTGATCTACTCCTTGTTCGGCCGCGTCGAACTTACCACTTGTTGAGCTTGACATCTTACCCTCGATAATGCTTGATACTCTATGCATTTCATTTTCGAGCTGCTGGTTTTCTTTCTCCTGTGAGTACAAGCTAAGCCGATGGTTCGCGTCGGCCTCTTCTTCCTGCAAAAGTTCTGTCAGTTCTGCTACTTTTTTTTGGATATAATCTTGCTCTTGTTTTTCTAGTTCTTTGCGTTGTTGCTCCAGTTCAATTGCTGTCTCCACCACATTTGCGGATGATGAGGACTGATGAGCGTCGTTGTCATTCCTTTTTCCTATGCTTCTAGGGTTTAGGTTTACTACAACATTGTCTTCTTCTGCATTGTGCTCTGCCTTGGCTGCTTCCTTGCTTTCTTGTTGTGCAGTAGGACCTATAGCTCCAGAGACGCCAGAAGTAAGAATGTCCCACACTGAACTTACTGCGTACTTGTTCCTCTGATGATCCTTTTCTCGCTTGAGTCGCTCTCCCTCCTGCCGATGTGCTCGAGATTCAGACGACTCCTCGTCATCCCCGTCAACTGGAGCTACGCCCGCACTCTGTACACTTGATCTCCGCTTCGAGATAGACGCTGATGAAGAACTATACCTGCACAAATAAGAAGCTGCATTATTTTGACCTTCTGCAAGCGGTGTAAGAGGTGAGGGGACCACTGCTTCCTCTTCCTCGACGTTGTCCTCTACTCCGGTATACATGTTGTCTTTCTCTCCCGTTACAACCAGTTCAGCGTTTCCTCGCTCCTCGGCGTAGGCGTAGCGTCCAACAGGCGTCCCCAAATCTTGATTTTTTGCTGACGGGGAAAACTCGTCATCAGCCTCTAGGTCAACAGAATCGGCGCGACGACTAGTCCCCCCATCTTGCGATTTTTTGCTAATACTGCTTACCTTCGTAATCGGCTTGGGCGCACCACCTGGAGATGATAAGCCTGAAGCAAAAGCGGAGGTTACTCCTGGAGCAGCCACTTCATCGTCAGCCGGAAGCAGTTTCCGTCTCTTTCGCCGTGGATTACTGCGACTGCGACTTGCGTTACTACCAGAACTGTCATCGCGGTCAGCCTCTTCGCCGCCGCTGCAAGAGCGATCTCCAGGATTGTTCTGCTCATTTTTTCGGAAAGTGTCATGGTCAAGGTGAAGATCCTCTTCTTGTTGATGGAGCTTGTTTACATGTTGCGTTCGTGGCTCCGCCTCTACTAGTTGTCGTTGGTTCTCGCCCGCTGGTACTTGTCCCTTGCACCTGTTCTGATCCGCCTGAATCTCTGGGTCTATTTGATCATTGAAGTCGCCAACAACGTAGCCAACACCGACTTCAGGGTCGATTACTAAGCCGTTTCGCGCAGTCGACGCGCTGCTTCCGCCATAAGAGGAGTCAAGTTTACTCAAGCCAAGATGGCTTTTCTCGGCGGACCCAGGCTTGGAGCTATTCGAGGAACTTCCACCGCCGATTGTCTTGCTGTCGCTGCGACGATCTAGAAGGAGTCCTTCATTGTTATCTTCGAGATCTCCGTTCTCGCAGGCTTCATCTTCGGCGCACTCTTGACGTTTCGTTTCATCAACTCCATCTAAAGGCTGTACCTCAAGATCATCAAGGTATTCCTTGCTTTTCTCTTCCTCGATCATTGGTATGACGTCGCCGTCTGAGGATAGCTCAGCGCCTTGCTCGCCCTGGCTAGAATTCTGCCTTTCGATGACGTCCCCACCAGAGACACTGACAAAACTGCTATTCGGATCTCTACCTGATGTAGCGTGGTCGCTTAAAAAACTCTCGAACATCGCAGATGGCACCGAGCCAGATGAGGCATTGAGGTACTGGCCAGCTGGGTCTCCCGACACCGCGCTCGCAAAAGAAGCCTCAGGATCCCCTGAGTGGAGGAAGGACGCCGCCTCGTGATAGATCGAAGCTCCTTCTGCACCAAGTGCCTGAAGTCGAATCATGATAAATGTTGACAGATGTGATGACGATCACAGAAAAATCTATCTCACTTCTATTAGTACAAGGTGTAGCAGTAGAGCATTAATACAGCTTTTTATGTTCTTACTAGTAAAGGTCGGAGTTGAAATTGCTCCTGGTCTCAAAAAGCAACTTGAACTTTGTTCTTCCGACGCGTAGTCATAACTGCACATAATGAATTTTCAAGTCAATACTTTCTCTGCTGCAGCTGTACCGATCGCGTCATCCGATAGTAGCGGGACGGGTGCTCCGGATCCGGAGTCATCGGATGGCACGTCTGCTTTAGGTTTAGATTCGTGACTCGACATTTTTTCACTTTCGGAACTTAGACTTACTCCGTTTTATGGATAAAGAAAAGAACTATCTAATATAAGTACTTATTTTTTACGTCAACGTCTCCTTCTCCTCGTTACGGGTACTCTTACTCGGAATTAAAAATCTCGTAATACATGACCCAGTCGCGGGACTATTTTCTCTAACCACAGGAATTCGAATTGGAGGGACACTCAACATACGATCGCATGTTCTTGTTCTTCTCCTTCTTTCTATAAAAATGTAGTATGGACCAGGACGCGGGCTTTTCCTTTTCCAGCTGCCGCTAGAAGGAGTTGATGTACGAAGGCACTTACAACATTGAGTCATTCGATCAAGAAACGACTCGAAGAAGAAGAAACATGGTATAATTGATTTTTCATAGAATCGATTTCACCGATAGCCTCCTTCATCAGCTGACGAATCAATGGAAGGGCAAGTCGAACGAGAACCGAAAGAGTTTTATGATGAGAGCCACGTCGTGCTTATATTTTCTACTTGGTTAATAAATAATATGAGAATACGACGAGCAGCACATCGTTCTTATTCGGGGTCTGTATACGAAGCAGTGAATCATGTCCATCCTCAATCCAACTCCAATGAAAACACCTCGTGGCTTCCTGCGCGCCTTCATGCTTGTGAGTCAGAGTCTTGACAAGGGTTCGGGCATATTTGTTTTCCGGCTATCAAGCATACAAATAATACATGCGTATAGTACAGGCGGGACCCAAGCTTGATATTTTTGAGCTCTGTCTAGATGTCGTTTCCGTCGTGGTCGTGGAGCGGGATAATTGCACTAACTCACCATTATATCATCGTCTTCAAGAATCTTCATCTACGTTATAGTTACGTTTCTTAGCCGATACTCGATGATAATGAGGAGGTAACGCGACATCGTTCTTCTGCGATAATATATTTGATTACGCGTGCTTAGTTTACTGCATCGCCTGATATAAACATCAGAAACTGATAGACAAGAGTTTTTCGTTCTTCTATCGATACTATAATCTACTTCTTCTAAGTACATATGCAAGAAATGACTTTCGTTGAGAGCTTCGTCGGCACAGGTGCACAGGCCACAACTAGGTAGGTGGGCGTAGTAGAATTCCCACACCCACTGCCAATCAAGAAAATATAATTCGGAGGCTCTGACTATTATAGAGGTTGTAACAAGTAGAAGGCTTTCTTCGAGTGTCAATCTTGGATTAATGTTAATCTCAATGAAAACTCGCGTGAGTCTTGCGGCACTTGTTAGAAAAGCACACGCACATGGACATGGTTCACACATTACCGCCGAACGAATATCGACCAAAAAGAGATTTTAACCACCTCCGGAAGAAAATTTACGCGCCTCCTGCTATAGATACTACAAGGAGACATTGCGTGCTTTCATTTCCAATCCGATTACTTATGGTTATGATCTACTTCATGCATTCACCACATGACCATACTGGGCAGATGGTGCTCTCCGCGGCCGCTCCCTGTCTTGGTCTACATAGATTTTCTGTTCGTTGATGAGTGCCGCGCGGCTCATCTTGTTCCGCTGGTTGTAGCTGGGCGACGTTCGTGTAGTCGTGATGAGGAAGTGACAAGCTACTGCGAGCATCAGAGCTCTTCTGAAAACACCGTCTCCGTCCCGCTTTTTACCTTGCATAGACCAGCTTCTACAACTCGTACACGGCGCTGGCTCAGTCCGACTTGCAGATGGGAATGTCTAAGTTCTGACTAACTCACCTCGTCCTCCACCACCAGACGCAGTGGTCGCTTTTTCGTCAAGATACTTACCTATTGATGTTTTGCATACTACTTTTAGTTTTACTTCAACTTCTTGAGAGATTGTACAAGTTGCACTTTCAACCTTATATCGTGATAGATCGTGGAGGAGGTGTGGATGGTACTATCTTTGCAAATACGCAAGTATTTGTACTTTCTGAAAACATTCAAGACATACATACTTACTGAGCTACGTCTTTTCTGATAGAGAAGCTCGATTTGTGGATACCAGAGATGGTGAATGACGATGAATACCATAGGTACTACCTACTAACTTTTATCTTGCTAAGTGAAAGTGTAAGTACCACGTGTACGTCTACGTGCATGATGAGCTTGAGTCGTGTATACGTCATTAATAGGGTGATCAATTCATTTCTTGTTGAAGCTCAATCCAGGAGGATGACACGCATTTTGTGTTTCAAGGTCGTCGAAGTCATGACACGGAGGAAAATATACAAATCGAAATCATTTCGTATTCGTACTATTCTTTGGGGTAAACGTATATATAAATTACGTTTTTACTTGCGTCTAACAAGCGATATGCAATTCACTCAACTTTTCTGTGTAGTACTAAGGGAGTTCTGCAAGATAGATTAGGACATTTGAAGTAGAGTAACTTTAAGTACATTTTCTTTGCTGTAGTTGATCATGATACTATCTAATTAGTATTTCTTCTAAGTGCACAGACCTTGCCCTTGGAGGCATTTTCACTTGCAGATACTGTCAAACTGTGGTAGTCGATTTAATAGTCACGTTTTTGCTTTCTTGAAAATATCATTTTAGGGGTCGCCTTAGACTCAATGGTAGTCTCTGTCATATTCGGGGTTCAGTTCGTATGAAGAATAATCTGCTATTTGTTCACTTGCAAGTTTTTTCACGTCTTGCTTCAAGGTCTGCATTTACATTTGTTTAGAAGTTTGATCAATGTCACTAGCGTTACATCCTTTTTGTTGTAATGGAATAAGCATCGTTAATAGTCTTTACTCTTATCTACTTGAGTTCTTATGGCGGGCACTGAGCGTACTTTTTGCTTTCGACTTGATGAAAGTTCAAAAGTTGGTACAGTAATACAGGAGAACCTGCAGTATGACATTGAAGACACTCTATTAATTATGTTTATAAGTTTATCTTCTTGATTCTTCTCCTGAAAGACCCCATTTTCATCCTCTCACTAAGGAGGACTCTAGTCTCCTGCTCCGAAGCTCGCTGAGATTCGTTTGAGCGTGTTGCCCAGAATCTTTTCAATCTTTCCGAAGCGCCGAGACATGCTAGCCAGTTGTTTTCTTGTCAGTGCTGACTCCTCCGTTTGCGATCGCGCCCGTCGCATTTCCTCTTTCACCGTCAGCCAGGGGTAGTAGAACTCGACCTGCTGATCAAAGACCGGGTTCATACTGTCCATCACGGTTTTGGTACGTTTCGAGTGCGAAACATCTCCCAAACGTGTCGAGACGCTAAAAGCATCCTCCTGGTCTGCTTCCTCTAGGATGCCCTCATCCTCTTCGTCGTCGCCCTCTTCTTCCTGGCCTATCTCTGGTGGCCTGTTCCACGCGGTCACGACTACGTACGCGTCAGATGTCTTGCTCGAGCCGCGTGTGCCATGTGATGAAAGCGGGGTGGAGAGGCGCACTCTATTTTTACAATTACAACCCACTCGGACCATAAAAGAAGAAGATAGGGATCAATCTATGAATAATCGACGACAACGTTTCAAAGACTAGAAAATGCTTCGTCCAAGCTACCTAGTACCGAAAAAGGAGGCACGGAATATCAAGTGATTAAGGAATTTGCATTGGCATTCAGAAAGTAGGAATTTACAGTACTAAGTACCAGTAGAATAGTACTCCAATTCCTCCAAGGCTTAGTAAAGCAGCGGGTATAGAATCAGAACGCTACTCATCTCCCTGGCATAAACCTAATAGAGTAAGGACCTTTTTGACCCGTATCGGGTTGAGTTGCTCGGGTTGCTCGAGTTGCCCACAGTAATTTTTTGCGCGGCGCCCTTCAGGCGCAGCTTCATGAGACACTGAGAGACCTTAGGAGGAGCGCAAGGCAATGCGAGTTGTGTCCCTGCTCCTTGATTTTCTTCTTGGTGGTGCGCCCTCGGGACGCTTGCTTTACCAGGCGAGGACTGCGGGCTGGCAGGAGAGGCATCCTCCAGGGGAAGACAGCCAAGGGGGGACAGTCAGATGACCGCAAAGGATCCAACGCGGGGGCCCTGGGGGGTGTGGCATGTACCGCAACGGCCTACCCAGCTGCCCACCAGCAACGTCAGACTGCACCTGCCGCTACCCGCCAATAGATGCATCAACCCCCGCCGCATTTTTCCTAATGTCGCTCGCAATACAGCGGCACCCTCCAGCCGTAAGCCGGCTACGAACCCACCCCGGCAGGAGTTCCTCGCTCACACCGCAACGCAGCGGGGCGAAAGCCTATGCCTAGCTTGTGACTCCCTAACTAAACCACAGGGGTGGCGAGGCACTTGCCCCCGCCATCGAGTCGAGAGCCGCGCTCCCCTATCGATCCCAAACGGAAGGGGGCGGCGCCTCTCCGTCCTTCTTTTGCGAAGACGGCGCCCCGCATGCCCGCGCCGCCCTGCTTTGCCCCATTTCGATGGGCCAGGTTTCCTCCGGCAACTCGTCGCAACTCGTCCCAGAATTGGAACTCTTCGCCTCGGCAACTCGAGCAACTCGAAACCCGTTATTTTTTACTTACTCTAACTATAAAAGATAGAGAGGACTTATCTTTGATGAGGCTGTCTGGTCCGTCTGGAGTTCGGAATAGCTTGCCGTTGAGATGATACGCGGATTTGTTCCGTCCGCTAGTCTCTCTGTTTCGATGGGATGATGCTCCTTACTACCTGCTTCTAAGGAGCTTCCGGACCCAGACCGCTGGGGACTGATTCCCACGCCGTACGCTGCTGCGCCCACAGCCGCGTTGACCCTACCGACGGCACCGGTTTCGGACTCAGGCGTGTGCGTCTCATCCTCGCCTTCGATGGTTTCGCGCGCGCCTACAAGACCGGTGATACTGATAACGCGCACTCTCAGTGTACCAGGACACATCTTCATGATCGCGGTCGGCACTTCTTGCTGTGCCTCCTGTGCTTCTGCTACCTTGAGAGTTGACACATTACCTCGTCTTGGTTCGGCCAAGTGGGTTCCTTCTAGGTTCATGTTGCCCCCTTTGCGCGAGCCAGCTTTGGTTTTTCGCGATCCGCCAGCTCTCGCCTTTTTTCCCGCTAGCGGTCCATTTTTGCCGCCAGATTTACTCGCGTGGGCACCCCGGTTTGTCGCTACCTCTGACTCGGAAGCAGACGTAGCCTCTTTCGACGACGCCGACGAGCACTGGGTATCTATGACTTCGATGTTTCGGTGCGGACTCCGGCTTCGCGATGGCGCGACTGGCTCGTTTCGGCCACAACTTGGTTGTCCTTGCGCCAAAGGGTGTCGCGTCAATTGGGTGACGTTATGCAGTGCGGCCTCCTCTGCAGACATCCCACCCAAAATTGGCGGCAGTCCCCTACCTGCTGCAGCGGCTGGCACACGCGGCCTCCCTGCGGCGCCTGGGGCGGCCAGCTTGAACTTGCGCGAGTTCGCGGCAGCGTTCAGGTCAGACGCTGCGTAGTGTACGCCTTCGAAGTCAAAGCTGGTCTCTAACGGCTCGAGTTCCGCATCCTCATCATATTGGACACCCTCGATTCCCGCACCGATCCCCGCTAGCTCGATGCCACCCTCTGCACCCTCGCTTACTGCGGGTAGGCGGGACGTAGTAGAGGAATGTTTCCTGGTAGTCTCCTCGTTGTCAGCGGGCGAGTCGTCAGGGAGAGCCGCGCCACTATGTGATCCCTCAAAGTTGTCCATGACAGAGGAGCCAGTACCGGATGCGTCTATGTTGCGCAACCGGCTCTCTACGCCTTCTTCTGCGTCCGTTGCTATATCGTCCTCCTCATCATCATCGTCTTCTGCGCCTAGTGCCCCCGGCTCAAGTATTTCGACCTCGTCTTTGCTCACCGCGCGTCGATTGTGGTCTTCTCCGCTGCTCGGATATGCTGAGGACGATTGAGGATCTAGTCCTTCTTCGCCGGAGGAGCTATCGCCTTGGATGAAGAGTCCACCCCCTGCGAGTGCTTCCGCCGCCGCGGGAGCGCCTCCGAGCTCCGCGTTATGGAAACCCTCGGAGGGCTCCAAAATCGGATGCCCCATCACGAGTTTTCCCTTGAATGCGTGAGGACCTTGGGATGGCGCCGATGGTGGATCGTCTGACATCACGTCCTCTAGCTGCAGATTGTTTTTGCTCCCACCACTTGAACTTGCACCTGCTCCTCCTGGAGGGCGGCGATGTGCGCCTGAGCCTGAAGCTCCCGCTGCATCAACTTCATGCGAGCCCCCTCGTGAGTGCACCTGTTTGATATGAGGTATATGCAAAGCATGATGCCCGAGGCGCTGCTCGATCTTCTGCTTCTCTGCTATTTTTCCACTTCTCTGCGGAATCTCGATTTCAATCCAGTCCGCTGATTCGTCTGGCACCCACTCTACGCTGAGCCGGATGCTGCCACGGACGCCGCCGATGGTGGACGTTCTAGGTTTAATTAAGTTGTCCTGCAGATCGAGTTCTAACTCGGCTCCCCACGGATTCCACATGTTGTTTCGCGCTGCGGACTCCCACCTGCGCAGTTCCGCTTCACTACCGTGGTCTCTTTCCAGATTCATTTGCCTTCTCTGCAATTCCTCGATTTCCTTCGGGGTAAGGGCTCTGGACGTATTTAGCAAGTGATCGTCGTCCAGCGCGGCACTGCGAGAACTGCCGTGGATAGCTTCACTGGTGCTCGTAGTCCAGTTCTTCATCTCCTTGATGCTGCCTCCGACTTGACGCGGCATGCCAATGGTGTCGAACTCAAGTACAACCTGCCCTAAGAAGTCGTGGCTGGTGCTGCTCAGCGTCTCATGGTACACGTCGACGGCAAGACGACGACACTGCTTCCAGGGTTCGGAGTACAAAAACACGTTCTCCACGGCCTCGCGTTCGACCTGAAAAGATGAGAAACAATTTTTCAAATCTTGTACTTAGCGCCAATCTGAGACCGATGATGTTGAACACATCTTTTTCAGAGACAGAAGCAGAAGCTTTTAATGACAGATGTTGTGCCTTTAACGATTAAAAACCAAAGTGAAGAGGAAGCCAAAAACAGGTCCTGTAAGATTACCAGAGTTTGTCGCTCTCGCTCCAGCCTTTCCTGCACGTTTTCATCCCACACGTCATTGAAGCACCTGAAGAAAGATAGAAACAATAACAAATAAGGTGAGCGTGTTGATACAGTCTTTGAAAAAAGGCAACCCCACCACGCTCTCGCTCCTCATATCTGATTGAAATTCAAATTCGAATCTTTATAGCCAGAAGCAGAAAATAACTCTTGTCATTGTTGTGGAACTGCAGCTGGCAGCTGCCATCTGTCATACGCAAGAGAATCTGAATTCAAATGTGGTTCTCGCAGTACCTCAACAGCACAGACGTAGGCATACCAACAGAAAGCATACTGCACAACATAGACAGAATCGCGAGTAGCTGGCCAACCACGGAATAGGGCACAATGTCACCATACCTGATGATGGTGGGTAATGGTAATGCGTTGATCAAGTGTTCAAGGGTAGAGCAGAAAAAGGTCCCCTTTTATAAAATGAATTCGCTTTGGCTTTGGGTTAAGCTTTGGAATATGTATATAAATATATATCACTGACTTCCGAAGAAATACTGGAGCAAAAGGACAATCGAATAGGAGCGCATCAAAGTACTTAGTTTTATTGAGAAGTAGTACCCAACTGTGGTGTATGTGACGAAAGCCCACCACATCGAGTGCGGGATCGATTTGAAGGGAGTCTCTTCCATCGCGTCAGCGACCCAGTTGAATCGGATATATGTATCAGTTTGTGGGTCCCACGTCCCTCTTTCTGCGAAATAGAGAACAGATGCGCTGAAGACCACGCACAACATCAGCACAAACAGTAGCACGATCAGCCCCGCAGCCGCGCGCTCTACCACAAGTACAATCACTTTCAAGGTCTGAAAGTATCGGGCGATCTGATGGAGAATGATTTGAGGATTTTTTCGTTGGGACGCGCCTTGGGTTCTTTCCTTGGAAATGGAGGGATCAGGAGGTAAAAAAATAGATCAAACGATTACGAACTCGAACTTCATCTACTTGCAGCTGCGTAAGCGTAACTCAAATTGAATAACATAAAGACAATCAGTCTACTACTTACTTAAGTCATCTTTATAGAGAAGGCAGTAACCTTGAGCAGACGGAAAAGACGCGTTAGACGGATGACACGCAGCACCGTGGATCCTTGCATTCCGCTGCCGACTAATTGTTCCACGTAGAACGGAACTACTGCTAGTAAATCGATCATATTCAGTGGATCGACGAAGAAAACCCACATCCGATAGATCGGGCCTCGTTTCTGACGCATATTCTCGTTGAGGACCAACTGATGGAGACCCACGAGATGGATCAGTTCGTTGCGGCAGCCCTGGGCTGCAACAATGCGAATACTATACTCTGCTGTAAAAACAAGCACACACGCCAGTTCGAGGAGATCGAACATGCCGTGTGGGACAGGCTCGCACTTCGACTCACAGTACGATGTTTCCTCCGCCGAAAGAATAATCCCAGTGTTTTTCACATCGCACCTGATAGATAAGCGTCGTGTAGTCGAAACCCAATGACAAAGACAAATAACAACAACGATTCACTTGTTGTACTTGATCATGTAGGTGTGCGTCATCAACTACTTTTCGTTTTTAGTTTTACGATCTTTTACTTGATTCAGTGGGTGTTTTAAAACTCGCCTAAGCATGATGTAAGAGCGTTGTACCTGGATTCGCAATTCCCATCAGGCCATTGCCGGAAGACTGGTAAAGTCGCTATGACAAATAGAACCGACGACATGAGAATCGTAAGAAGTAAAAATAGACTCAGAAACCGCGCTAGTCGCGATGACGTCGGGTCTTCAAATGTCAAACTGATGCGTTCCCAAAAACTCAGGCTTACCTGTAATACAGTGTATTAACATCTTTAAGCACAATCAAGTAAATCGAAGATGGAAGGATTCCCAATTGATGAAGCTAGGATTTGTTGCAAGTATCTATTGTGGACCATATTTATGAATTGATACTGCAGGTGGAGATGCAGCTGCAGGCAGCTGTACAAGTAGTTACACTAAGACTTAGACTTGTTGTATTTGGATGAAGTACGTCATTTCATCTTACGTAACAGTAACTACCGTAGTTGTTGTAGTTGCTTCTACATCACTGATTGCTCCATCATTCAAAAGTAATACGTAGAAGCGGTTATCTCTCCAGCAGGCAACAAACTCCCACCAGCCCACTGAACCGGAACCGTCGACATCATATCGCTCAGCGACAATAGTTCGCTCCTTATCGCCGATCATACGGCAGACCTGAGTTAGAACAGTGGAAATAGAGTAACTGACCATGATGAAGTAACTGGCTCGAATCTAAAAATACAACAAAGATCAATCAGAATATGACTGACCTGGAAGAAAGCGTTAGTAGAGAAGCAAAGAGTAACCAAGATGATTTTCACACAGGCAGTCGGAGAGGCTGGAGCTGGTGTAGAGGTATAAGTGGGTTGCTACCCGTGTCATTGCGCGCTCGAAGTGTGTGCTTGGAATTTCGCCATGTTTGTCGCCAAAACGGCGGTTTAAAATAGAGAAAAGCGTCCGAAAAAACGCAAGGGGGATCTCTCTCTTGAGTGGCGGGAAAAGATTTTGCTTTCCGCCGCCCGATGCCGCTCCGAGAAAGTCGAACCCGCTGTAGTCGGGTGGGGGCAATACACGCATGACAGGCGTCAGTTCGAGCACTTGGTCTGTCCCCGCCGTGCCCCTTGATCTACGCGGGGTGAACCCGCTACGAATACAATTACGAATGAACCTTAATGGAGATGAAATAGACGACAATGAACTCGATATCCAAAGGAGCTGCAGCTTGTGTGATAGTCTGTCATCATGATACATAGTGTGAACTACAGTAGTTGTCAGGGGAACTCGATCTCGAACAAGCAGAAAAAATATACTTCCACGTGGACGAACATAACTGTCACTGTCTAGTAACTGATGAAAATCATGAAATGACATGTAGTTCATCTATCTATGTGCAGCAAGATAGAAAGAGCACTCCATATTTCTGCTCCACCAAGATATCTTGTTCCCACGTATGTCGGTGTGCGCCTTGTAAACGAAAAGGCTTCCCTTGAATCTGTTGCCTCCTCTTTTAGATGCTTTTGGTACTGTTGCACTGCGCTCAGCGAAGAGAGAGGGCATCATCTTGCCCGAAGGCAAGCCTCATTGCCGCTCGATGACTTACCAAGACGAGGGTGGAGTTTTATCAGAAGAATGTGGTAACCACGAAAAAGCATGCGGGAGTAAGTTAATCAACTTCATGGATGTGGTTGTGGATATAGAGTTGGAGCTGGAGGTTATGCTCGACGGATTTCATTTGATACCGAAGGAATATCCATCCATAGAGGAGAATGACTTCTACACACAGCAATGTCGTGAACACAAACGGAGTTTTGAATCATGAATAGAAAGGCCGAACCACGACAACCAGCGAGGACGAGACGTAGATCTAGTTCTACATGAACTTTACGCATTCGGATTTACGGAGAGGGGATCTTATGCTTTCACAGAGTCAGACACCAGCGTAAGCGAATTGGACGGACGAAGCTTCAGACTAGGTTATGTTTTATGCAAATTTGCTTATAGTTATACAACTTGTCAGCAATAATATTATACTTGATCTTGTTCTTGATTTTGATGATGTCATACAAATGAATGTAGACAATCTTTTTTGAGTCGCTACATACAATAACGCGCTAGGTTCAAATTGTAATATCTTCCAGAGGGAGTGTGATAGTGATTGTGATTTTTGATTAAATGTATATATAAAAATAGGTGAGGAAAAACGGAAGCGTACTTTTTCTATATCTCAGTAGATACTTTGTATAACATAAAATGATGTTGAAAATCAAAATTGTTTTGGCTAGTAGTGGAGATACGCAATGCTTCACTGTCAGAATCAGCTTCTGACTTTTATCGAAGCTGTGTGCCTCCCCCTGCTAGCAGCCTAATATTACTTAGTTTTCATTGAGAATGCTGGGAAAGATTGTGTATGCTTTGCTGATAGTCCTCGCCGGATCGTGAAGACTCTTTGTTGCGGTTGACACGACATCATAATCGAGCTCATCTAAGCGAGTCATTGATTATCATGATGACCTTTGGCATTGGCGCTGACGGTGCACTCTAAGGGCTATTCGAGAGATGTGTTGAGGCTGAGGAATCTTTTGGAGAGGAATGAGCGATCAGAGAGGAGCGACATCTTCTTCCGAAGACCGACACGATGAAGTTGTCCGAAAAGAACCTATACCGATAATTTCAAGTGTTGAATGATCGAGAGAAAATCATACGATACGGTTACAAACACTGATAACGATAAGAATCCGAATCGAAGTCTCGAATAGAGGGACCTGTGACTCCGATATTCAGATCGACCAAGTTCAGATTTCGGGCCGATGTTTCTCAGGTTTTCATGACAGATAGATTCAGAAGCACAGATGATGTAGATGAGGCCGCCAACATAGGGATTTACAGATGGTGCATAAGTATATAAAGCATGCAAATTGTGGGTTCGAAATACAATGAAGCAGTCAGACGTTTTTTTAACCGATATTCTCTTTCGCCTGGACGCTGTACATAAACTTATACATAGATACCGAGAAGACGATTGGCAAATGCATACAGCAGCACTCGATGATCGTCAAAGGCTCAGTGAAGGTGCTTCTTTTCGATTCGGTTTCCGCACATTCAAACAAGAACAACCACTGTGCTGGTGAGACCTTACAACTTCGTTTGGAACATAGATAGTCTCGTTGTTGAGTAAATGTAAAAGTAAAAGAAAATCACACGACGGATGACAGCTAAAATAAAAAATATGTCCAGTAAGTTCCATAAAATCCGCGTATTTCTTTTTCATCTGTCTTGGTCTTGTGCTCTCAAATACATGTCGTAGAGATGTCATTTTGTTCTAGCCTTTCCTGCCCACTGGACCGGAAAGATTCAAGATGTCAAAGAAATCGGAAACACGAAAAAAGTTAAGCCTTGCTTGTTACGTCGAAAGATGAAGGGCCACGTGATGGTAGTTGCATACGAGCGAAAAAAACAAGTAATGGGTTTCTGCTGTTGGTTTTGATATTGATCTTGGACTTGCCTTTGATTTGGTTAGAATTTGTTCTTTATGCGAAAGCGAATGCGCTAACACTGACCCTGCTACAACTGCAACTGCCGAAGAGACAGTATACATAGATCACACCTATCTTTCAATGATCATCCCTTCACCGCCGTATAACGCAGATCCATGATTACATCATATTTACGTTCTTGCGGAAACATTTTTCCCGAGCAACCAGAAACTACTCGAACTCAGCCATTTGCCCTCTCGAGTCGGTCATCCGCAAAGGCTGAGGCAATAGAGCGCCCCCGCGAGCCTTGTAGTGCCATCTCCAGTACGGAAGTTGGCCGCATGCTACTTGAGGGTTGCGTTACGGAAAGACCTACAGCAATGTGGTCGCTAATAGAGAGACCCCCATCTGGTTCACCACGATAAGTCGGGACTTTCTTCGGTAGCATCGTCGCAACTTCGTGTTGAAATGCACTAGGATTTCTCAAAGAGCTTGGCACGCCAGCGCCAGATGAAATCGCTGAAGCAGGAATCGCGGAGGTTTTGTGACGGCGGACAAAGCTGAGAACGTCAAGAAAACCGTCACCTGCCGCTAGAGGATAATTCGTAGTAGCTACAGCATCATTTCGTTGTTGTACAAGTTGCAGAGCACTGCCACTGGGCGAGCGTGAACGGCCCGGTCGTCTGCAGCCACGCGGGGACTCGTGTTGTTGAAGAAAACTGTCCATGATCCTCATCTGCTCCTGTTCTTGCAACCGCACGGGCTCATTTCTTCGCGCTCCATAGCGCATGGGCGGCGAAGACACTGCTAAAGGACGGACATTTGCAAGTGACGAGTCTGCAGCAGAAACCAGGCCAAGAGGCCCAGCTGCAGGCTTCACAAACATCGGGCCATCGAGACCCCCAGTGAGAGGCAAAGGTGCGATCGCTTTGGCTGGGCTCGAAAAATTGTTGCTCATCAGATGCGTGCTACTATCGCCGAGACGACCTCGGGTTCTCCGAGCTGCTCGAGCAATGACGGAGTCTGAAAAGGGCTGTCCTGCAGGCGGATCGCCTCTTCCAGCAAACGAGGAAGATGTGAATTCCAGCGCACCAGCATCACCGTTGAGCTCACGGGTAAACGGGAGAATTATTGCCGGATTGAGTTCAGGATGCAACAGGGTTTTAGACTGTTGTGCTACAAGGGGGACAACAGAGTCGTGGTCTCGACGATCTGCACATGCGATTGCAAGCTCACGATCGTTTGATGAATGACGTTCTTGTTTTTTTCGTGACGCACGACCTCCTCTGTCGTTCTCTCGACGAACTTGAGCTAAGAAATCATCTTCGCACAACGATTGCTCGGTTCGAGAGCGCACGTGCTGAATCTCGATAGAGACCTCCTCCGTCACAAATGCGGCTGGCAAAGCCTGCGCTTGATTCAACCTGTCACCTTCGTGGTCTGCTTCTTCAAGCAATGGCGAAAAGCCCACACGCTTTCCAGCAGGAGACTGTTTTTTACTAGCCACGGGCACTCGACTCGGGGATGAGATTGATCTGTATGGGCTCTTCTTTTCAACGCTAGCATGCTGCGGTGATGTCGAACGAATTTGACTTCTTCTACCGCCTACTGGACTGGCACTCCTTGCTCCTGGTCCTGCGTAATGATCTTCACCAACAAAGTTACAACTTCTATTTTCCTGCGTTTTTTGGTCCAGAGGTGGCGGTCGTAGGAATTTAGCTTCAACCCTCGCACCAGGATGAGGTGCCCCCGCACTTTTTGGTGAAGGTCCTACGCGCGCTAAAAATGTTTCCTCTTCAGCCTGTCCGACGTTTTGCAGCACATCTCGTGCTGACCGCCTTGCAGAGAGTTCAGCCGCATCTGCTCCCCAAAAGCCAGCTTGTTCCCGACGAGCACTCCACATGTTATTTTTGTCTTCGAGCTCCTGTTTCTCCATAAATTCTTTCACCACTTGTTTCTCGGCTCGATTGAGCGTTGCGTCCGTAATCTGATTCGTCGCCGCTTCGCGACGCACGTTGCGTCGTGCTCGTACTAGATTCCGCGCGAAAGACTCAGCATCTGGAATCGGGTGTGTCTCCCGATACCACTTCATTAGTGGCCGCTTTGTATAGACAGATGAGGGAAGCAACCGCTGCCGCTCGCTTTTCGAGTTCAGTCCACAACCTCCAACGCCACCAACAGCACTTCCTTGAGACGGTAAATCAGCACGCAAGGCACTACTCAATCTGACTGATCTCGGAGAGGCAGCCCAAATACTGTTGTCGTTTTGGAACAGCACTGACCGAGAATGATCCCAGCGATCCATGATGCTCATTTCATGGGGAGTTGGGCCTCCTGAACCTGATGACGACGAAGACGAACTTCCACCGGGGCGTCGGTCCAGGCTGCGGAGATTCATCCAGGCTCCAAATCGTGTCGATGTATCTACGTCGCCGCCGGGACCTCTTGGCGAAGTGGACGTAAAATGTCGCAGTATTTCCTTCTTGTGAGGTAGTCCTCTTGAACGCAGAATCCGTTTCTTCTGCCTTTCAAATTCTTTTCTTCTAGGCGTGTTCATGAAGTCCGTCGCCACGCCTTGTAGCAGCCCGTCGTTGTTTTGGATGACTAGTCGCTCTAAAGCTGCCCGTAAATCGAGTAGAAATTCTACGAAGCTTTTCGTTTTCGCGGCTGGTTGTACTCCATTGCCTGGGCTGCCACCGCCATGGCCATTCCCGTTCTCCTCCTCCAGTGACGAGTCAGCTCCAGGATTTGAACCCCCAATAGAAAAAGTCGACATTCCGAACAGCCTGCCCGGCACACCGCCGCTCGCTGGCGATGTCGCTGAATGGGGCACGCCTTGTTTTGACGATCCTTTCTCAGCAACTTTGCTAGTCTTCTGGTCATCATCCGCGAGCAACTCGGGGGCTTCTATGCACACTTTACGCCAGAAGGGGTGGAGTCGCGCCAATAGATCTCGCTCGGCAGCAGAGAAAAGATCACGACAGCGGGATAACTCCACCGGATCTACCGCAGAGGCAGTGTGATCTTGGTTTTGCGAAATGAAGTGAAAAGGACTTGCTCCTCCGGCAACGCCACCACCTCCTTGTGCGCCCCCTTTGATGTTGTTCTTCGCGATTTTTCGTCGTTCAGCGCTCGTTAGTTCCTCTTCCGCACCCCGAGGATTTTCCGACGCGAGTGCCTCTAAGACCGCACTTGGAACCACGCGGTTGTACTTTCCGCCAGTCAAAACCTTCGTCACAATCTTCTTTACGGCTTCCACGAGAGATTGGAGATCCAGTATTCGGTCCTCAACGGGCACTGGATGCACGAAAAAGTCAGACTCTAGAAATTCAAGGAATCCTCTAACTTCAGAAATTTCCGACGTTCGCCGGGAATCGGTCAATTGGTTCCTGAAATACAAAATTTGATAAGTATGGAATATATTGTTCAGGATCTTCATGCCCTCTTGTTATTGCTTGTTCAGTTGAAATATCATTCCCTGTTTCATCATAGCCCGGAGAGCGGTTTTTGCAACTTCATTGACGAGATTGGAAATAGAAATCAGAGCCAAGAAGAAATACTTACCTGAGATAGTCCCCCAGGTAGTGGATTTCGACTGGTGGCCGTCCTGCTCCGTAAGACTCTGATTGCGACGATCCGGAAAGTGGTGTATAAAGCGCAAGCGGGTGCGCCTGTATAATAAACGCCGTTGAAAACCTGAAATTGAAAATGAATCAAAGGAGGAGAAGCCCCAGGGTCTATGCTTAACGAAGTCACCAACACGAACACCAAGTCCCAGAATGGAAGAGGGTTCGCAACTTGTTGCATTCACGTACACGTAACCAGTACACCCGAGTTGTAAAAAACTTATCAAGATAGAAGCTACCTTGGGACCCGCGGGTCGTGTTGAGACGGCTCGGAGGCAAATGCGTAGTGTGGATATTTCGACGATGGATCGCGGGATCTCTCTGCTACAAATCTGCGGCGACAAAAATGTAAGCTTGGTGAACAAGGAGCCGAGCGAGAAAGTCTTTCATAAAGGACGAAACGTGGAGAAGCGCCAGCACTGGCGGCATCCAGGTTCGGAAAGTAGGGTAGTGGGCGAGTTGTGGGTTGTCCAGGCCCATCTGCTACAGAATCAGCGTCGTTTCCACCAGCAACTCCGTTATCCGGATGATCTTCCTCGTCGGTCTCAAGGCCATTGGCATCAATTGGATTCGGAAAACTTATCCCGATTTGCGTATTCTGTGGAGGAAGTTGTGACCGCAGGAACTTATTGCGTCCAAAGCTGCTCATGAGCACGTCTTCCTCAAAGTCCTCGTCGCGTGCTGAAGGAACAATCAAGACTGCTGGTCCAGACTCGGTTTCCAGTCTATCAAAATCATCGAACGCGTCCCCCACAAAAGGATCGTCGTCGCCTATGCCAGCTTGCATGTGATTGAAAGCGACGGCGTGATTTTGGTTGACATCGTCTTCAGCATGAAGAGGACCCAGACCATCAAAATCCATCAAAGCCCCGTTCATGTCTCCAATATCAGGATTAGCTTCGGGGTCTCCTTCTTCAAGGGCATTGATATCTTCGGGAAAAACCAACTCCTTCTGTGTTTGATCGCCTCCTCCAGCACGATCGAGAACATTATTTGTTGTGAGTAGATCGAAACCGCCAAGCGGCTCGTCGTCGATGCCGGGATCTCCTGAGTCGCTTTCTCTCGTCTCGTGCTTTGCTGCTCCAAAGACGCGTGTGACACCGTGAACAGCTTGTACGGCCCTGCGCAGCCGAGACGGATGTGCAGTGGCTGGCCGTCTACCCCGATGCTGGCCGGCACCCGTCTCCCCGACCGCTAAATCTAGGTCATTCACAGCATCGTCATCATCCACTTCTGCGATGTCGAGACCGAGTTCAGCTTCTTCTTCCTTCTGCCACGTTTCCACATCAAGATCTGGGACGTGTGTGTCGCCTTCATGAATATGAATATCGTCGTTAAGGATGTCGTGCGTATCATTCTGCTCCAACGTCTCATCTCCTGCTTGTACCATCGCAACCGGAGCATCGTTTTCTGGCACGATCGGAGGGCCGCGCTCGGCCATTTCCGAGACTCGAAACGGGTTGAAGCCTAGAGGCGACCGCCCGTAGCGCGCACTCGCGATGCCGGTTCGAATGCGGTTGTATTTCCATCGCAGCTTCTTAAACAATGCGTCACGATAGGCGCGTCGACCTAGGATACCACGGAACCAGGACTGCAAGCGCACTGTTGCGCGTGTCGTTGCGGTCTCTGTCGTGAACAAGGGGTCGTCGGCACCAGAGTTAGACTCAAACCCAGCCTCGGCGCTTCCCGACAACAAGAACGCATCGCCATTGCGCTCGTCGACATCGAGCAGACCCTGCACACGCAGATTTTCGCGCAATCGCCGCACCTCGTCCTGCATCATGCGGATAGTCTCAGCTTGGGAGGTCGCCAGAGAAATCATCTCCTGATTTACCCGTTTCCGCGGATCAGTCAGAAAATCCACATACACCGCAGCCACAGAACGAATAATCACGTACTGTTGCTCCTGCTCGTAGTAAGATGCGTCCGACGAGCTATTGTTCCCGCCGATGATGGACTGAGCATTGTACCCATTGGTGTCTTCAAACCACGAAGGAAAAGTCTCTAGTTGAAATGGAGTAGGTGCGATCGAATGCAAGACACTGCCTGGTGCCACAGAGGACATTTGAGGCACCGCTCCATCTTCGTCTTGCGGCGAGAACGGGAATCCACGCAGTGTTCCACCTGTTTCTCCAACCACTGCTTCACCTTCAGGCCCCGTCATAATATCGGCCATGATCTGTGCTCCTTGGTGACCTTGCAAGACAGCTGCATCTTCAGCTCCGCCAATATCCGCTCGTCCGAGTGCGTCGAAACGGGAGTTGTCTGATGCTAGAGAGGCAAAAAATTGGCGTCCACTCTCCGCTAAGCGGTCTTCTTCCAGCACTTCATCGAGAAAGTAGTTTCCAACGTTGAGAAGGACGCCGTCAACGAGATCCCGCGCGACCTCCTCTTGACTACACATCTTGTCGACGACTGACTGGTACGTGAACCGCAATAAAATTTTAGAAAATTCCTGCTTCTCTAGAAGGCCACGCCGCTTCAGCTCGTCTTCCTCAGCGCGTTTGCGAAGATCTTCGTCAGTGATAACGTCGAAGTCGTGGAGTGCCATCAGTTTCAGCTCTGCTCGCATCACTTCTCGGTCGAAAATTTCAGCCCACGCGAGTTCAAAAATGGATGGCAGAAACGAGTAGTCTGGCTTCGGACGTTTCTTCTTCTTCACTCTCTCAACTTCTTGCACAGTTGCTGCTACACGTCTATGTCGCTCATCATTCCCCAGCTGCTCTGAAAACTCGTGAAAAACTTGCGCCATCTGCTTATTCAGCTGTTGGACCGCAGCGTCTTCGCGTGGAGAGCCCGCCCCATCCCCAAGCCGCTCGCGCAACTCGGTCAGCACATTCTCGTCTCGTTCTCTCTCCAGGGACCTTGCTACGAGATTCACATGGGCAGACGTGCGCGCTCCGCCGTCAGGAGGTGGGCTAAGTAACATTTTCGGATCGGCGTCCTCGTCATCCAGCATATCTTCCGCATCACTGAAGTAGTAGCTACTTGCCGATGACGAGGCCGCCGGATCGCGCTTGCCCATCAAAATTTCTTCGATCTCCTTCAACTTCGCTTCACGCTTCAGTCTTTCGCGCCGTTCTTCGGCCTCGCGGCGTCTTCGCTCAGCGAGTTCTTCTAAGCGCTCGTCTTCGAGTTTTCGCCACATTGCAAGCGCATAGAGGTACACCTCCTTTAGATTCCGTCGAACAAATTCTGTCCGAATGATGCGATCCACGAGCTCCTGGAACAAGTTCTGAAGATAAGGCGGGACAACTCGATACCGGTAAAAATTGTACTGGAACAGGGCGATTTGCTCCTTCATGATCTTTTCCGTGACCATGCGCGTGTACACCTCGTTCGTCAGAGTACGCACGTAGTGCTTCGACACTTGCGTAGGACAGTTGCTGACTCGTGCCAACGCCTTGAAGTCAACGACGTTGCCTGTCTCGTCGTATTCGTACCTTATCCGCCTACCCCGCTCCCGTTTTTCCTTGCGCCGCTCTTTTCTGCGGAGTCGTTCGGCTTCACGCTCTTGTTGTTGCATTCGGTCCCGTCGCTCTTGGTTCATGGGACTAGTCATGTCTTCAAAATCGGGGTCGGCAATTTTCTCGTAGGTGTGGGAATACTCGTGCTCCAGTTTCCGTCGAAATTCGTAGTCTGCTCTTAGCTGCGCTTCCCATTCTTCCGGCGGATCGATTGTGATATCATGGACACCATCCTGGACAGACTTGGTGTGCCGTGTAGTCGGAGACGCTGGCAAAGAATGCTGTCCGATCTTCTCGACCATAGCGTCCTTCCCGCCTCGACGTTTGACCGTTGTTCTAGCACCTCCATTTCTTTGTTGGAGCTGTGGGGAAGCGACAACGTCCGCATCCCCAGCTGCAGACGCTGAAGAGCTGCTTGCAGAAGATGAAGTAGGTATGTCAGTGGCAAGCGGTAGCTGGAAGAGTCCAAGACCCAAGGTCAGCTCTGCGAGAGGATCAGTTTCATCAGCGTCTTGCAGGTCCGGATCATCAGCAGTTGCAGGCGCCATAGATACTGGCGGCTCTCTGGCTGCAACATTGCCCTCATCGGTCTTCTTCCGCTTCTTCTTCTTCACCTTTGTCGGGGACGATGAGGAGTAACCATCTTCACCTTGCTCGTTAGGCGAAGTAGGCCGCTGACCGGCAGCCTCACAAGCATCTCGCCCCTGACTGTCTTTCCTGCGTTTCTTTTTCTTCTTTTTTACTTTGTCCTCCGTATCAGCCCCTTCTACGCTTCGACGCTTTTCGCGTTTCTTCCTTTTGGTGCGACCACCCGGAGAAAGTTGGGAAAGGACACCGTGGAGTTCTGGTGGTCTGTGGCGTTCATATCCTCGGGAATCGTTGCTATCCGAATGGCCCGCGATATTGTCCGCAAAGCGGATCGCCCTGCCAACGTCTTTCTCAGGGCAAGAGGTAAGTGCACCCGAACGTCCTGTCAGCATTTCATCGAAATCGGACGCAGTGTCATCTATTCCCGACCACCCCAATTCTCCTGCCCTCTGACCGCGCCGTTTCCGTCGACGAAGTAGAGCGTCGTTGCGATGGGTTATCAGACGCCGTACATAGCGCGTGAGCGCCGCTGTGTCCTCTGAATTCTCGTGCATGAGACGCGCTGCTGCCTCCTGCTCTGTTTCTATGATTTTCGGTATCCGCTTCCAAGCTGGTAGCATATGGCGTACACGGGGAGTGTGTGCAGTGTGCTTCATCACGTAACGCAAGACCAATGGATCTGGGTTGCCTTCGCAGCGGCCGCTGTCTAGGCGCAGGTAGTTACGAACTGTATCAGCCAGGACCTTCTCGGGATCGCGCACAGGGTCGATGACAGCAGTACCACCTGCTTTTTTGGACCTTGGAGACCAAAAAGTTCGCGGAGATGCTAATGCTGCTGACGACGAAGCTAACGCAGCAGCAGCTTCCTGTCTTGCTTCGTAAAATGGCGCGCTTGAAGCGGAGGAGCCGCCGCACTGGTAATTTTGCGCGCTTGATTTGAGAGAGGTTATATGCCTTGCACTTGATGTTGCTCCAGGACAAACGTTGTGGGTGCCATCACTAATGTCAGGATCGTTGTTTTGTCGCAGCCCGTCGGGTTTTGGTGGTGCTGTGCCTTGAGAGCGAGATTGTTCGTTTGGCGACGTGGCAGCTTTGTCAGGGATGCTATTGCGAAGCCATGCATCTACAAAATGCTTCTGATAGGCAAGACCAACGCGACTAATGGCACCAACGCTTCGCTGAATCTCTTTCGGAGTTCTGTGACGCATGGAGCTAGAGCTTTGGCTGCGGCTGTCGACAAACAGTCCGTAGACTAAAGACGTGCTCAGCCTGTTCACATAGCCGGCTGCAAGGAGTCGCGTCGCGGTGGCCTTGTCAGCATTTGCAGCTTCACGTAATAATTGCTCATCGGCTGGCCGCGCTTCAAAGTGCTTTGCATCGTATGGGGTTGCGAGAAGGCGATTAGGACTGAAGAGCGGAGAGGCAGGGTTGCTTGTGGGGGATAGAGTAGGGCCAATCCGACGACCTTCACCGCGGCTACTAAAGGTTGGCGAACACGAACGCGAACCCTGCAGCGGAGCCTGAGATCGTGCATGCTTTTGACCTTTTCTTAGCAATACGGGTGACCGCGCGTTAGGCAAGATGTGAGCATCAATCTTTCTTTCCTCATCGACGACATTCCCACCATATGTTTCCCTAGCACGACGCGCTACTGTCGATGCATCCTGAAGATGCTCGCCACCGAATTGCTCGCCAACTTCTTCTAGTTCTAGCTCGCCGTCTTCGACGAAGCGTTTGGTGTCCGGTTCGCCAGTTAAGATCGACCGTGGTAGTTCGATGGAATTCCGTGGCTCGCGAGGTTTACGAAGTCGCGGAGACTTGTACTCTACGCTTTCTGGGATGATGTCCC